ATACTTAAATTATTATCCCATATTCTTATATTATAAAATATACCTATTCTTATTTACTTATTCTTATTTACCTTTCTCTTTTTTTTTTTTAGTTTAAATTATTTGTAGTTTTTCTTTTTATACGAGTATTATAACACTCCATCCTCTATCAATTTATCTATTACATCGCTTAAATCATTACAAATTAAATTTGTTGTTTGTGGATTAATTACGTCCGGTGCGAATCCCATTATTGGAAATAAAATATTTAACATTTCTGACATATTATATGGCTCTGCCATAAGATTATTCGCACTCATCATGTGTTCTACAAAACATACTAACTCAACTTCATTATTTTTTTTTGCTATTTCTCCTTTCATTGTGATTTTCACCTTTCCTACTACGTTACTACTATATACATCTTCTATTATTTCTTATTTATGTATTATAACATTTTTATTTTCTACACTTTGGTCAGCTATCGGTAACTCTATTACTGTTTCTGATCTCGGTTTTAATAATATTTCATTTATTTTAATTGTTTCATCATTCATAATTTTATTTCCTAACACTAAGGTATCATTATATGCGTTAACTGCTCCATCATTTTTCTTTAAAACTTTATTACCTACAATACCGTCCTGTAATACAGGAAAATTTGGATATACTACATTAAAATCTACTTGATAAATTTTATTACCTATTTGGAGTGGAATTGTTATTTTCCCTAATAACAATCCCTCAAACTAATTCATCATTTATACCTTTTAATATTAATGTTTGAGTTTGGTCTACTATTAATTCCCCTTTTAAACAGTTTATTTTTATTAAACTTGTTTCACTCCCAGTATCTACTAATAATTTTAAAGTATTAGTTTTACTAGCAGTGGAATAACATTCTATGTGTTTATTTTTTATATCTGAGACTATGTGGAAGCAATGTTGATAGGTGGTTCCGCTGCTATTATCTGGTTTATCGAATGAGCTCTGCGAACTACATTCGATCCCGATCCGTTTCCCGAATTATTTTCATTATTACGTTTGTTTTTATTTTGCTTTGTGAAACATTCACTTTCGATATGCCCATTTTTCTTATAGAAATTACAAGTTTTTATTCTAGAATTATAGTTAGTAACCGGTCGTATGTAATTATTTCTATTTGGCGGTCTATTATTATATTTGTTCTTTGATTTAACTCGACATTCATTTGCTAAATGATTTGCCCGATTGCATATAAAATAACATTTAATATTTTTATTATAATCATTAATATTATTATTTCTTCCTACCATGCTGTTATTATTTTGATATGAATTTTGTTTATTGTAACGTTTGTAATTATTATTGTAATTATTATTTTTATTTTTATTTAATCTTTCATATGCTTCTTTTTCTGATTTATATTATAACTCTTCATTTTTGGCTATTTGTTTTGCTAATTCAAGTGTGTTTGGATTTCTAGCTTTAACCATTAATTTTATTGGCTTAATTAATCCCGAAACACATGCTGTTAAAGTTAAATTTTTGAAAGTATCACAAATTGATTGTATATCTGATTTTTGTTTCTCTATTATACTTGTATTGCATAACTTGTAATATAAATTTTCTATTCTTTTATTATAATCATAAATACTTTCATTATATTTCATTTTAACCAAATTTAGCTCTAATTGCAACGATTGAGCTTCGAAGGAATCTGTTAAATATTTTTTTACGTATGCCTACTTACTTACATCTCTATATTTTATTAAAAATGGTACATGTTTTTCATCTACTGCGCTTACCACTAAATCACATGCCGTTATGAAATTATAAATATCATCCTCTGTTTCATTTTGGTACAATTTTTATTGCTTCTTCTAACAAGTAAATTGTGATTTTAATGGTTGACCTCGATAATATTACTATTCGCACATTTCCCATATTTTGTTATGCGATATTTTTAATTGCATTTTATTATAATACTTTGAAATGTAGCCTGACAGCTCATATATAGTATGTGTTCGTGTTACCCTCGGGCCTTAGTCATTCCTTTCTATATTGTTCACTGATTTCTACTATTTATGATTTATGTGATCCCCCTATGTATTGGTAATTGTAAAGATCTACATTTATGTATGTCCATAACAAAAGACATCAATTGATTTTAATTATTTAATTAGAGTACAAAATATTACTGAACATACAAAAATATTAATTAAGACCAGCAGACTGAAAAAAAAACACAAATAGTCTAATCTAATCTATTAAAATTAGTGCAGCTTTCCTAGATATTGACAAAGACAGTGTATGGTCTATATATTATTAGATAATAGATTATTATTACTTAATATTTAATGAACACTATACAGTATATTAGTGGCTTTGTTTTTAAAATAATTAACAATAATTGGAAGTATCAGGAATGTGTAAAAGTGTTAAATGAATCAAGTAAAAAAGAGTGGGGCAATTTGGTGATGTTAAAGTTCATTTTATTTATTTTTTTTTTTTCTAAATATTTGATGTGAAAATGTGAAATTTTGTATACACATTGCATAAAATATAGAATCATTTAAAAAAAATATTATGACTTAATATTCAATGGTTTAGCAGTTAATTGAGTTATATTTATTTTTTAAATTTCGTTATCTTGTCCTGTGGTTGGGATAAGTTAATTTTTTATCAGGGTAACTTGACTATATCTATGAAAAACAAGTTTCATTACTATAAGATAACTTTAATATTCATCAAACAACACATTATAATACATAAGACAAGTGCATGTATTATTTATACTGTTTTTAATAATTGTACAAAGTTAAAAAAATAATAAATAACTTTTCTGTGATAAACAAATAAGAATAACATAGGTAAATACATCTTTAATTAAATCAAAACAACTTTTAGGATTGAAAATTACTTTGACTCCATAATAAAAACTTATTATAGATACTACCTAGGTATAACTATTTAACAAAATTAAAAAAATTAACATAAAAAAATGCGTCTTTAACAAAATCAAAAACATTTTATTATTATAATTTAAGTTGAACAGTAAAATGGTATCCCTTACCTATATAGAGCAAAATTTAATTAAAAGTTCACATGTAAGATTTATAGTTATCTACAACTGCATATATACCTTAATTTAAATCGATTTTTTTGACATAATTTCCGTACATTTTACAGCCAAGTAAAATTAAAAAAATATGTATACTCAATTATAAGTTTAGATAGATTTTATGAACATTTTATTACATATTAATATATAATTAACACACATATAGTAAATATATAATGAGATAAATAATTAAATTAGTACCTAATAATTACTAATTTGTTATTATACATCGATATTTAATTTAATTAAATACGAAAAAATGAATAACTCTCAGTATAAATATCGGAGGGAAGTTTTGAACTCGTCATCTTACCCCAAATGATGATCAAACAATACAAATATTCTTTTTGTATAGAAAGAAAGCCGGAGTTCAATTTTAAAGCAACAAATATAAAGCTTAGAATTTGTACTAAATATAAATATTAAACAAACCGAAGAGTACTTAATTTTTTGTCCAAAGATCCTATTTTCAAACATCCCTTAGTGATAACATTATCTCCAAAAACAGTGAAATTATAACTACGCGCGTTTTATCAGAAATGTTTGTTAATCAAAATATTAAATTATCATTACAAAACATATGTTATTTGTTGAGTTATACGCTCCCAGATGTCATTTTATCTTTTTAAATTCGAATTCGTCATCTAACCCGGTGTGTCAACTTACCTCACTCACCCCTCCTACTCAAACGGTTTTAACCAATTTTAAAAATATAAACGCTTTAACAAAAACCAGAGGTGTTGTAACTGAATTGTCGTGTTTCTAAAAGTATAATTTGGACTCGATAGTGATTGTATTCGTATTTATAATTGACACTTTTAATCTTAAAGCCTTTTACCATATTAATATTAACAAGTACATAAAATTGACTACATAACAAAGCCGATAAATAATCATATCATTCTAAAATAAGGTTAATATTTAAAAATTACATTATATACTATATGTATATACAATTTTGTAAAATAATTAACAAAACAAAATTGCATTTAATAAAACTCATCCACTTCCAACATCATTAAAAATACATTGTTTTTTTTTTTTTTTAGTAGTTTGTAACTTTCATACAATTAAATTTATAAAGATAATGTTTTTTAAAATTTTTGTTTATAAATATTTATATTTGTATATTCTAATCATAAAATATAACAAATTGTTTAACATGCATTTTAACAGGGAATAGACACAATGTGTATTAGCCAAAGTCTGTAGCCTTGAACGAATGGCGGATGTTTCGCCCCCGCCGCACCGTTTCGTCTCTGACTATTATTAAAATATGATATTTGGCCCCCGTGAGTTATAAAGATTTATTTTAATTATAATATTTGTACAAATTGATCAGAAATAAATAATCATATAATATTTATAATTTATGTTTACTTAATAAGCTAAATTATTATTATTATCATTATAATTGTTTTTTTTTTTTATTGGTGCGTGCCTGTAACCGTTCGCCGATTGTGGCGTGTACGGTTTATGCAATTATGGTTATTGTGGGTTTAAATTAATTTTGTAATTGTGCGCTTTAAAAAGAATTTAAATTGTATGTTAAAAAAAAAAAAAACTATTTAAATTTAGTGATTTAAAATTCCAATGGCCAAACGTCCTATGGGTAGGTATAAATAAATCTATATAACTTCCGGGGGCTAAATGTCCTATCTTAATAATAGACGAGGATGAAATGTCCGTGGACTCGTATTTTTGATGGAACGAAACGGTGGGGGCGAAAAGTCCTTTTACCGCCTGGAACATGGTCTCCAGAAGGGCGTGGCATACGTTATCTTAAATAATTCATATCACAATATATAGGTACCATACACATGAAAATTGTTTCCGTTTTTCATAATATCGTAGCAAATAGATATACCAACAGATAACTATACAACTATCTATATAACTAACTATACAACTATCAGAATATGAATACGGTTCAAATTTTCGGAGTCTAATATTTTATACAGTAAGGATACAGTGGCTTTTATATTATTCTGTGATTTTAAGTAGTACGGAAAATAAAGATTTTGGTAGAATAAACTGTAATAGGTAGTTTTTTCTTTTGCTTTTAATTTTAGAAACCATGGTTTTGTGTTATCATGGTTCACGAAGTTATGAGATTATAATTTTTTTATTTTGCAGATTGAAGGACCACGTCTATTAAATTTGCAGTTAATATCCAAATTAATATCAGACTGCACAAGACTGCGTTTGTCTCTTTCTTGTTGTTTTCAACATTCTTGGTGAATAACAAGGTAAGCAATATTTCCCTATGTAATACATTGTATACACATTCATTAATTTTATATTATAGATGTATTAAACTAAGTAACTAAAACTATAACGGTGTCGGTTGTACAGGATCATATACAATATTTTACCTGGAAACGCAATGGCAATAATTAACGTTAAAGTGCGAAAAAACTCAGGAATGGATCTTGCTTACAGTACTAAAATACATATTGACATGGACCAAACTGTTACCGATTTGAAGAATTATCTATACGAAAAGGATAACACTCTAGACCTCGAACGATTAATTATTATTTATTGCGGAGAATGTTTAGAAGATGAGGAAACTCTTACTCATTACAATTTATTCGACGGAGCTACAGTGCATGTGTATACAGACCTTAAACCAGCGAAGTCGTCTATGCATTCAGTACTTGAAGCCAAACCTGATAAATCGTTAATAGAATCAGTTTTTCATGCATTCTTACATTTCCCAAGTCAAAGAGCTAAAGTGATGAAACTTGTTGAGGCAGAAAATATTCATAAAATTATCATAGACACTCCGGAATTGAGTGAAGATCCTGTTGCCGTTACACTATTACAACATTTCGAATTATTAGCGGAAAACTATAATGCAGAAAATATCGATCGCTTCATAAATGATAATCCTGCATTGTCATTAGCTATATGGAGGATTGGTTTAACTATTTTTAACAAAACTGATTCGCAGGTAAATTTTATCAAAATAATATTATTGCCTAGGTACTATTATTTTTATTAATATAGAAATGTTCTACTTACATGCTAGGTCCAAACTTCAAGCCCAGACGGAAGTGTTATTAATTATAACACCGAAGAATATTTGTTTCCTGCTATTGAGGTCAGTAGTCAATCTTTATCTAGAAATTTATCCCCTAGACCTATTACTGCTGAGGAGTTAGAGCATGCCTTAGCAAGTATAACACAACAACTACAGCCTAGTACTAGTGGTGCAAGTACATCTAATGCAAACGAAAGAAATTTGTTATCAGAACAACATCAAGAAATTCAACGTACTCGTTTAGGTACTCATAATATAATTCAGGAAACACAGCAAATTCTAAATAATTTAGAAAATTCAATTCAATCATTTATAAACAACATCAACAACTCAGACATCCCGCCCAATGACACAGATCATAACAGTGATGTTGATTAAAATCATTATATTGATGTAACATTTTAATTAGATTTTTAAGTAACAAATTTTAAAAATAATTCTTAAGTAGTGTTAATTTTAATAAGGTTCTTAAGTAACAAACATTTTATAAATAATTCATAAGTAGTGTTCATTTTAATTAGGTTTTTAAGTAACATACATTTTTAAAATAATTTATAAGTAGTGTTCACTTTAATTAGATATTTAAGTAGTATACATTTTTCAAAATAATTCTTAAGTAATGTTCATATTAATAAAATTTTATGATTACTGTAGCATAAGTTTTTTTTATGTTAATTTATTATTGATCCTTACTTTTATTTTAAAGTTTAAGGCAATTTATTCAATTTTATAATATAATTATTTTTTAAGGACAATTTGTATTCATGAAAAACAAATGTATTAAAATACTACTTTTTTAAATAATTATATAATTAAATCAAACATTTTGTTAGAAGAATTATTTTTAAAATGATCAAACTTTGAACCTATTTTTGAATATTTAAACCATTTTATATAATAATAATCTTTAGTATGTTTTATTAAATTATGCTTTTTTTTTTTTTACTTATAATAATAATAATAATAATCAATACTTTTTAAATACTATATCAAAAATTATAAAAATATTTTTTATAAAATATTAACAGTTTAAAGTTATTAAATATAATAAATATAATTTTATAAATATATTTTATTATTACTATTCCATTTTTAACAAATTATATATCATTCAATTTATTAGCTTGATATTAGTCTTCAATAATTCTGTGGTGCTCGGGTTAAAGGTCTTATGTTCAAAATTAATAATTTCAGAGAAATTAAATTAAAATGTTGAGAATAAATAAACTTTGAGAAAAAACTTTACTTATTTTACACGCTTTTTACACATTTGTATTATTACGTATTGGGTAGGGATAGGACTTAGTTCTTTTTACCCACAAATAGAGCGTTTTTTTATCTTTTATGTATTTTAATCCCATTTTCGCAGTTTTTGTACTTAAGATCTTTTATCCGAGCATCACAGAACTGTACAGAGCAATTTTTACAACTACAGTCTAGTTTTTGGTTTTATGATTATGTTGTAGATTGAGTACTACAAGTGAACTACACTAGTTAGTAATAATAAAAAATATTTAATTAATATATGACATTTACATAGTTATTATCATAATATAGTAAACAATCGATGTGCATGAACATTTATATAGATTAACTATAATAGAAATTGTCTCAATCTATAATTTCAACACCTTGGTGTTCTTTTTTAACCAATAAAATATAAAACAAAAATTTCTATTTAATTTGCACAATTAAATTTAAATTTACTCAATTTACTTTGTCTTTCAGCAGTACTGAGGTTTTATATAAATACATAAGTATTTTTATTGGATGACATTGTTAAGCCTTTGTGCACTGTACAACATGAAAATAAGCTATTCTGGTATAATTGGTAAGTATAATTCTGGTATGTTTAAAATATCTAATGCATAATTATAATCATTTATTATTCGAATGTTTAATGTTATCCATTTGAATATTATTATTCTTTTATATTTCCTTTTCCTTCTGTTAATAAAATTGTACTGTTACCTATTTTTACTTGTATTAGTTTATTTAATAATTTATAGTCGCTAAAATAATTTATTTTTAAACGCATGGTCTGATTCTCTTAAGTCAACTTCCCTCAATATTTTCCGCATGATTTATTTCGGTGAAAAATGTATTATTCTTATTACTTTTATTTATAGCCATAATTTTCTTTTATCACAAATTTTAAAATATTTCCTACATTGATTCCTCCAGTGTCCAGGTAAATTACAAAAATAACAATTATCTATTTTTTTTATTTGTTGTTTTATCACATTTTTTTAATTTTTCCTGATTTTCAATTTCTTTTTGAATTGTTTGTTGTTAGATCTATTGATTTTGATTATATACTATTATTTTAACTTATTGTAGTAACCGATATTTTTCAATAAATTTTATAATAATATAATAAATAATCTAATTGTTAAAAAACAATTTTTTTAAAAATAATAAAATAACTATTTATTTCAACATTAGGTTATACTGGCACTAAATATAATTGTTTCTATATAAATATTAGAGTCATTGCCCATAGTGTTCACATTATATATAAATGATTTGTAATTTAAAATTTTATCCTAGATGTTGAAGAAATGATAAATTAATTAAATTAAAATTCAATGGAAATTGTATATTCTATTTTATAATATTAAATATGATTTTCCAGTTAATTGTAACAAGGAAAAAGAAAATTGTACTATTATATACTGTGCTACTGTGCTAATTTATTTTTTAAATAGTAGATAGGTTCATTCATTTTAAAGTTTAAGGGTTTTGGGTGGGGATGTATTAATCACAAATTCTACTTCTTTATAAAATTATATTTGTTATCTATGTTATACCTAAAAAATTTAACGCAAGAGTGCAGTTTTTATTTTTGATATTGTGTGATTAAAATCTAACTAGGTTTAATTATACATTTGTAAAGCTAGAATTTCAATGGGATAAAAATTATTAAAAAATAAGTTAATAAGTTTAATCTTGAATCATAGAATCTTGAAATATCATATTTTAAAATAGGAATATTAGAGATTGTAAATAAATACATTTATGGAATCCAGTAAAATCCTACCATATTATAGATTAATATAGGGATGCAAATATTTGATATTTATGGTGATAAAATAATTTTTCATAAAATTTATTGCATTGCTGGAATATTGGATTCATTATTATGTAATAGAAAATTAATGTTCAGTTGGGAAATACTTTGAATCGCTTTAAATTGTAGTGGCTGGGCCGTAGTAAGGATTTTCCTGTTTTCTTATCGAATATTCTAATATATAATAGTTCATACTATATAGATGAATAAAAATGAAAAAAATATATATTGAAAAAGTAGAGCAATCAGGATTTAATTTTAGAAGGTGTTTGGTGGAGAGAATAGGTACATCATAGTAGGTCAGAATAGAAATAATTTGGACAAAATAATTTTTCTATTTTTTTTTTCAGTTAAGAATAATTTATTGTTTATTAGAATATCAAAAATAAGTTAGATTAATGTAATTTATTATATTTAAAATGTAGTCAATAAAGGCAATGGCGTAAGTATGCAAATTTGGCCCCAACGCAAAAAACTTAAACGACCCTCTTCCTATAATATGTCAAACGTATATGAATTAAACTTCCTATATGTTTACCTATTCATAATTGTATATTTTATAAGTTTTTTTTTTTTTTTTAATTGTATATTAAGTATTTAAATTTAGTAAGTATACACAAATATATTATAATTTACATGTATTAACAAATAAAAAAATATATCAAATAACAGACTTATATTTATAGTTAAAATTCTACTCTTTGCGCTTTTAAATTCGCAAAGTTGTCAATAAGTTGTGAAACGTTCATAACTTCTGCTTCTCCACCTTCAATGTGCAAAAGTAATGTTAAAAACATAATTAATAATGATCATACTTCTGAAAAACTACTACTCATATTATAATATTTTATAACTATTAACTTTGCTAACTCTCTAATAGTTTTAATTCTTTCTATTTTGCTTTTTTATGTTTTTACACATAGTAATAATTGAAGCAATAATGATTCAGAGGAATCATTTGTATATTGTTGTTGTCAGTAGCGCAATCAGGAATTTTTCATGGGGTGGTCTGACAAAATAAACTAATATACAAATAATAAAAAATTATAATATATATATCTAGAATATGATATTAATATACTGTTATACGTACCAAGGGGGGGTCCAGACCCGGAGTCCACCCCCCTGGTTGCGCCACTGGTTGTTGTAATAATAATATTTTGTCTCTAAGTTCCGATTCTGTTAAAGTCAATAATATTATTGATTATATTAAACACCTAAAATAATATTGACTCAATATTATTTTAGGTATTAAAAATAAAAATAAATCTAAAGTCTTCTTTAAACCTAAGAATCAACTTTTTATTTGAAATGTTACAATGTCTATTGTTACAAAAAAAAAGTTGTATTTTAAATAATTTTTTTGGTTTGTCAAATCTATATGTCTTGTTCAAGCTTGTCAAAGTGTTTTTTACTAATATTTTTTCTTTTATCTTCAAAAGTAACTGAAATTTTATATTTTATTGTCATTTCAGCTGCTTTACTGATGATCATCAATATGATTGATGATATCAAAATTATGTCTTAGCTATATAATTGTATTGTGAGAAATTTCTAATTTTTCTGTTGCAAAAGATAAATGCATAGCTTTTCTTTGTATTAAAGTAGAGCTTAACTTTATGCGTTATATAACTTTATTTAAAATATGCGATAACATAATAAACATTACTAAAAATTCGAATTTTTCCATATACATTTTTATTTTTATAGATTCTGATTTTTCATTTTTTTATTTACTTTCAATAATTATTTTTAGTAGAACCTTTAGAATATCAAAAAAGCGTTATTTTACTGTAATTAAGAATGAAAGACAACCCGTCCAACGTGTTGGGTTTAACTTTTTTCTGATTGAAACATGAAGTAAATCCCAACGATTAATAATATTTTCAAAAAACACGTAGATATTTTGTAAGAGCAAAAAATAATTATTAACCTCTCTTACACTATTAACTAGGTAGGTATATCATTTATGACCAAGTTCAAACTATGGCTTGCACAATGGACATATAAAGTTCTCAGTTATGATTCCTTAATACATTGTTGTACACCATTGTAAATATTACTAATAGTGTTGGCACCATCATAGCCATGTCCACAACATTTTAAAATGTCTAAATTATTTCTATCTAATAAATTGCAAATAGTTGTTGTTATACCAGATTCAGATTGATCTTTAACAGTATAAAAATTCAGAAAAGTCTCTTTGATTTCGAGTTTAATAGGTACTTTATCATTGTTTTTAAAATTTTTACATGCTGAAAAACTATACTTAACTGGTCAATCTTAGCAATATCTTGAGTGGTATTTGCTATTATTTTAATATATCACAGAAAACAAACAATTTAAATTAAATCGGACGGAGTCGGATTACGAAAAGTATAAAAATAAAACCTCAACATCTTATACTATAATATTGATTTCGTATTTTGAAGTTAATTTTTGTCAAAAAAAGTATATCAACTTGAAATTTTTTTTCCCTATTGTTTTAATGATATGTGTAGTTTAGTTTAAAATTTTACCTATATTATTATCATCCATGTTGATAAAATAGTGAATTATGATAAAACAAAATAATTTACTAAAATAATAACAATTTTAAAATCAACAGCTTTTATCAACACGGCGAGTATCAAACGATAACTAAGCATATCTTACAATTCTTAATACTATTCGAAGTTGGTTGCGCGTCATGTACTATGAAATTTTAATCGCAATTAAAATTGAAATTGGTATGATGAGATAAATATTTTGGGATCATGTATAATTTTGAATTTTTGAATTTTGGCACGCTACAATTGTTTTTTTCTCACTTTGCGAAGGTGCATTGTCGAATCGATGGTTATGGTATGAATAAGCAACCGAAAGAAATAATTCACTAAAAAGAACGAAATATCTCATTACTATTATACAATCAGTTGAAATATCACTTACAAAGATTGTAAGTGAAAGCGTATTAAAATATTTTTGTTTTTTACCTGCCCGGGGGTTTCGTATTGTATGGAAGGAGCTCTAAACAAACGATACGAAACGTTTTTGTTACGACTTACGTGTGAAAACGTCATTATCAATAACAATAATTGATAATAACGTTGTACTTGTTACTTGTTATGGTTTTTTAAATTATCACACTACACGTGTATGTATAATTTCGTATATTCATTTTCTTGTGTTCTTTATTTAAACTGTGCGAATAACTGTACGTTATTCAAATAAAATGGGCAACAAGAGACATGGCTGTACAAACGCATATTTTGCAAAGAAGAGGAGAGAAAAACAAGGAGGAGTAAGTTATTATTTTTTTCATTACATTTATATTTTAGTTAATACTTTAAATATGTGTATCAATCGTAAGTTTGTCTAAACTAAACTTTCAGTGGAAGCCTATATATCTAAATATCCGGCGTCACCTTAATGAAACAAAATATTTTCTCAAAATTAAAAATCATAATTTTAGTATTTCAACTACCTAAATTTAAAAAAAAATATATAATTTTAGAGCTGATTTTAACGCATATTTCATCAGTATTTAGTAAACATTTATCATATGCATATTTTTTATAGTATTTTAGTGTATTCATAATTCTGATGATAATTCATCTTGCCCTAAAACGTAGTTGACCAGCGCTTTTGAAAATTGCATCCATTATAAAGTTGTGATATCTGAATTATTTGTTATTTTAAACAGTAAATATGTGAAAAAATATTGATATATTGTTAACATATTATTTTTTTGGAATTATTTTTTTTTAAGTACCTACATAATTAATTTATTAAAAATTATTAACTATTTCTAATAATAACAATATAAATTTTAAAGTTCTTGCCTCGAGTCTTATTATATAATATGTGCAAATATTTACATTTATTTTTAATATTAAAATCATCAGATATAAATAATTTGTTAATTATCATAGGTCCATTTGTTTTCCTCTCATAGCATATTTCTGAGTAAACGGATTTAGCTGATTATAAGTATTTGTAGGTTTGAGCATTTATTTTTTTATATTTTATTTATATTGTTACTATTGGAAAAATTGAATAGTTCTTAATAAATATTTATGATATAGTTAAAATATTATAAATAATGTTATTTTATAAAATAACTAGTTTGTTTATGAATTATTTGCAATTTCCCTAAATTTACCTCAAATATCAATTAAAGTATTTAATAATAAATGAAAAAATGTATTTATTATACTTATATTAGCTATTTTACATGGTATTGTATATTTAATTTGATTCTTGTTAAAGCATAAAATTAATATAAATAATAATAAAATGAAAACATCAATAAATAATTATTTTTTTTTAATCACTGAGCTTATTATTTATAATATATTTTTAATTGAAATACCTAATTATAATTATTTAAGATTATTAATTATTATGTATGAAGAGCTAATTATATTGGTGTCAACAATTGCACAATACCCATGTTTTGAATTTATTATAACAAGTATACTTAAATAAAGTTCTATCTAGTTTCAAATAATTGAGCAGTTGTTCAACATGTTAACGGTATGAGAAATGAGAGTATAAAAAATAACTACTTAAAACATGTAATTTAGCCTTTTAGATTCAACACATTAAATATAACATATACTTTACAATAAAACATATCCATTTAATATAAATATATTTCATAATACTTTATTATTATTATTAAGAGTATAAATCAAAAGTCATTAGAAGCTGATGATGAGTCACAAAACAATTTAATTTTAATTCCTTATTATTTATTATTAATTATTTATATCTTAGACTAACATAATTTTAGAAATTTAAAACTAAGAAAACTAAAAAAATATATTAATTCTATTATTATGTTTACTGGCCATTGGATGATAGTATTTCTTTATATCAAAATACAAATTGTTTTCTTTTATATTTTTTTTTCCAAATATATTATGCTATACTTGATAATTATTACTCTTTTAATATTTGGAATCTTTATCTGTGTAAAATTTATTTTATTAAATTGTAGAATACATCTGAAAATCCTAAAGAAGATAACCGTAGTTCTTATGAAACAACTATACGAGAAAATGAAAAATTTTTACAGTATTACAAGGTAATAAAATGAATAATTAATTCATATTTAAGAAAAGAATTTGTAAATAAAAAGTTAATTTACATTGATTTTAATATTTATTTGTAGATGCAGAATATTTGTCCAAAAGGAGAATGGGATCACTTTATATCTGTATTAAAGTCTGATTTACCAACATCTTTTCGTATTACTGCTAGCAGTAACATAGAAGCAAAGAGTCTTTTGAAATTGGTTGAAGGGGTTTTTTTTACTGATTTACTCAAAGGAGAGCTTAGTGATGAACAGAAAAATAGCAAACCATTTTGTTTACCATGGTTTGTTGTATTCTTTATTTTATTCATATCTTGAGTATATTAATTTTACTAAAAAGTAAAAAAAAATATGATACATGTTCTCTATTTGATGTGAAATATAAACAGGTATCCCCAGCGATTGGGTTGGCAGTTGAAAATCACTCGTAAAGATATACGTGGTTCTGAAGCATATTACCGTCTGCATAATTTTTTAATTTCTGAAACTGGCAATGGTAATATTTCTAGACAAGAAACTGTTAGCATGATTCCACCTTTACTATTGGATATAAATCCAAGTGATAAGGTTATATATTATTAATTGTTTTATTTCAATGTACAAATTTTATTAATATATTTGATTTATTAAAATCATTCAAATTTATTTTAGATATTAGATATGTGTGCTGCTCCTGGATCTAAAACTGCACAACTCATTGAATCTCTTTATTCTGGCTCTACTTCTTCTGTTCCAGGTATTTAAAAAATATTGATTTTATAAAATATGTGTGTATAGTTTATTAATTTTGTTTTATTTAGATGGATTAGTCATTGCAAATGATGTTCACAATGCTAGGTGTTACATGTTGGTTCATCAAGCAAAACGATTAAATAGTGCAAATGTAGTCATTACTAATCACGATGCTACTGTTTTGCCAGCAATGCATTTGAATGAAAATGGTTTGTTTATTTTGTATTTTTATTTTATTATTATTTACTCATTATGCTTGGAGTCAAAATATTAAAAAGATATAAGGTAAATAATATAAGATTACTTTTTTCTAGGAGATTCTTTGTTAAAATTTGATAAAATTTTGTGTGATGCACCATGCTCTGGGGATGGTACATTACGAAAAAATCCAGATATTTGGACCAAGTGGAGTCCTGGAAATGCAAATAATCTTCATGGGTTGGTTGAAATGGTTTAAAAATAAAAATAAATATTAATGTTTTAATATATTTTAAATATTTTAGAATACAATTTCGGATATTAAAGCGAGGTTTAGAGCTGTTAAATGTTGGTGGACGGTTAGTTTACTCAACTTGTTCTTTGAATCCGATTGAAAATGAAGCAGTAGTTCAACGTATGATGAATGAAGCCAAAGGTATTTATTTTAAACTAGTATAATATTTTATCTATTTTAATCATTAGTTTTTTTCACATAAAGTAAATGTGGGTAAATATTGTTTAAATAAAATTAAAGTTGACTTAGGCTTGGTTGGCAAGTTATTTTGATTGTAAATTGATTATGGTTTTTATTTGAATTATTCATTTTCATAATTCGGATTTGTATAAATAAAATACATTTTTTGTAATTATAGGTTTTATATATATATAAATTATAAGTAACAGTTTTTAATTTTATGTTTGTAAATATAAACGTCAAATTTCTTGTTTAATTATAGGTAGTGTTGTGATTGTGGATGCACGACATAAACTAGCAGGGTTAAAAACAATGGATGGTCTTTCTCAGTGGATAGTTGTATCAAAAGATTTAGATGTATACAAATCTTTTGATGAGGTACCAGAAAAATGGACTACGCAAATCAGACCACAAATGTTTCCTTTAAAAGATGATTTATTTAATCTTAACAAATGGTAACTATTGAAAACTTTTCTTATTTTAAAGAATATTTAAAATAATTTGTGCTTTCTATTATTCTAGTATTCGCATACTACCCCACCACCAAGATACTGGAGGATTTTTTGTTACTGTCTTGGAAAAAACTAAGCCTCTACCATGGGAAACTGCATTAAAAGAAACTCAAGAAGAAAATGAAAAATCCGCAAATGGTGTAGAAATCAAAGAAAATAAACGAAAACCAAAGAAACGAAGATACCAAGGTTATAAAGAAGACCCATTTGTATTTTTGACAAATGAAGATCCTGTTTGGCCTGAAATCAGGTAGCGTTTTTAATTCATTGTAAAATAATATTTTTCTTTTTACTTTTTTTTATACAATGTTTTAATATTGTGATATTAGAGTATTATTTTAAATTATAAAATTTTATTTTAACAGGGATTTTTATGAACTTAGTGATTTCCCTGTTCATTGTTTACTAACTAGGTGTTCTGTTGGTAAAAAAAAAAATATTTACTACACTTCATCTTCTATTAGAGATATTGTAAAAAATAATCAAGATCGTGTTAAAGTAAGTTATACATTTCATTACTAGGTTAAAAAGAACTATTTTATAATTTGAATCTATATAAATAATATCAAATGAGTATTACTAATATTTCATTAAGCTTATTTAAATTGTAATTTAAAAACTAATACAAATGTTTTAATTAATTTATATAATAAAGATATTCTATGTTTTTATAACATACATTTTTATTTTAAAGATAATTAACACTGGTGTCAAGACATTTGTCCGTTGTGATAATAAATCAATGAAGTGTAACTTTAGACTTGCTCAAGAGGTAATTATTATTAGTGAACATTTATCTTTATTATTAAATATAAATATTGTTAAAATATTACTATTATTCCCGTATTGCCCATAAAATTATATAATATTAAACAGTTAATAGTATTGATCAAATTTAATTATTTAAATTTTTGATTTTTTTTTTTGTGTTATAAATGAATAAATTATTGATTAAATAATGTTAGTATTAAATATCTGTATAATATTCATAAATTCTTAATTTAAAATTGTATTTACTAATTTTTTAGGGTTTGGCCGGTATATCTTCTTACATTGGGTCTAAACGAAGATTACAATTGACACGGGATGAAGTTATAATTATTCTTAAGAATCCAACAATTCCAGTAACTGATTTAGACCAAAAAACTAAAGATAAACTAGAAAATTTTGGTAAATAGTAATAATTTAGTTAAGAAGCCTTTTTATTAGAATAAATATTTAAATTAGGAGTTGGAAGTTGTATTCTTAATATGATAGATGAAAATTTCCCACTCGAGTTGGTGGGATGGAAGGGTTTCTCAACGCTCAAAGCTTATGTGAATGGTGAATGCAGATTACATTATTTGAGATTACTTGGAGTTGATGTTTCACAATTTGGTAAGTTCTGTTTTTAATTTCTAATATTTTTAATTTAATTTCCAAATAAATTAAATTATTAAAACCTAGAATGTTATAAGTAGCATTTTAAATATGCATTATTAAATGCTAAAAAATATGTATTGTTAATATTTTTATATTTAAAAAGACAGCTAAAAAAAATTAAAATGTCAACTAATATCAAAGTGTATTGCTAAGTTAACACTTTTATTATTATATTTATTTAATATAATAAATATATATCATAAGATATATAAATATAGTAGAATATCGATTATTCGAGATAATGATGAAAAAAGGTAACAGATAAATGAAAAACATGGTTAATCGGACATTTTATTTAATGAATTATAAAAAAATATGTATAATGTTGTATGCATATTAAGTGTGTACATTGTCATTTTTTTAATAAATTTTTTTGAAATGGCTATAGGGAATGCTAAAAATACACTAGTAGTTTCTATTAATATATATCTTAAATAACTCTTATCTACCTGAGATATATATGGCCATATTTTTATTGTTGAAAAGATCTTTTACGTTTTTCGATAATGTATATTATGTAATAAATATAAAAATACATTCTTCCGACCCAAAAAAAAAACTTTAAACGAGAAATTTCAAATAACGATAATTTTGGAAAAGCGGGCACGGTTAATCGCGAACAGGGATAATTGAGACACGGTTAATCGAGGTTCCATTGTCTAAGCATTTTAATAAAATAAAAATTATGCAAAGATATATTGCAATGCATAAAATTTTAGTGGTAATTTGTGAACCTAAAAAAACCAAGGTAGATATTTACAAAATTTCCGAAAGAATAAAAATAAAATAGTTGAATTAATTGAAGTTTTTTTTTCTGTTTCCTTGTGGCAAATAATTTTCATTTTCACATTAATTTTTTTTTTAAACAAAACAACATTTTTAAAAATATGGAGAAATATTTTATGACAATGTATGGTAATTTTCTTTTATTTATATATTAATTAGTATTAAGACGCAGAGAAAATTTAATTTATACAATTATGTAATTATAAATTAGCTACTTCATTTTGTGTTTGATAATTATTGATGTATCTACAATTGTTTTTTTAGGCAAAGGAAAGCTTTAGTTGTAATAATATGTTTAAATAATTATCCTTAATCTTCACTTGTAATCATTGAAAAATCATTTAAAGATAATTAATATTTTCACAATATTTTTGTTGAAATATTTGACATTGATTAATGTGTTAAAAAAAATAGGAAAAAAAATTAATCGGCTTTATTGTTTTAGATGTAAATAAATTTAAAAAAGAAAGTAATGATGATGAACCTGTAGACAAAAATGGAACTTTTATTGGTATGATGATTTTACTATTAATTTTATATTATATATTATTAGGCTTTATGTGGTTTTAATTGAGCTAAACATGTAAATATTGTTGTTATTTTTTGATAAATGTCATAATAAATGTTTATTTCATTATTTATTGTTTTAGAAGAAGTAATTACTAATAATACTGAGATCAAAGAAGAATTAGTTCCTGATATAAATGGGCTTAAAGAAGAACTGATTGAAAAATCATAATACAAAAATTAACAATTTACAGATATCACATTTGTTAAATTTTTTTATCTAAAAATGTTTATAACTTGTTTAATCCCTAATTATTAAATTATACAAACTATAATAATAAAAAAAATATTGCAAAAGTATGAGTAAAAATAGTTAATTTAATGTTTTACATTTATTTATCTACATCAGTCAACAATATGTAAAGAATAAAATCTAAAAAGAAAAATAGATACTAAATTGGCGAATAATAGTATTACATACGTTTTAATTGTTACTAAAGAATGATTCAATTTTATTTTGATTTTAAATATTACATAATAGATAATTAATAATTGTATAGATACTACCATGGGAGGGAGGCTTTTAGGGAATAATCCTTCCATTTTCATACAATTTTAGATATATTATATTTTGACTATATTACATAATTTCAGTCCATAATAATAAAACTATGTATATAAGAAAATCCTGAAAACGATATTATATTTATAATAAACATTAACATTAAACTGAATAAAAGAACATTCAATTATTTTGCTGTGTTTGGAAAAACAGTTTTTCAGTATCATTTGGATTCATAATCATGTCTAAAAAATTGCTGACTTCAAATGCTGTTACACTAACAGAAAATATAATTATAACTTAGGCGTAGAATATGTTTATATTTGTATATTTACTATTTCTCCCTCAAAATTATCAGATTGACTGAATAAAAATATCACAATTGATTTGGCTATATTCATTTATTACTATATTTTGAGCTTATTTATTATTTCTAGGTATTAAAAAAAAAAAATGTTTAATAATTAAATAAATGCTTACCTTGAATTATTATTTAAGTATAGTACAACAGGTTTCAAGTTAAAAATTGATGGTTAGCTATATACAAAGTCAATGTTTTTGAGACTCAAATTGATTATATATATATCTGAATATGAATGTTTAATTCAAAGGTGGTCATACTTTACAAATATAATAATACTCCAAGCTCAGCATTTATTTATTTTTGCATTTATGTATATATTATTTGTTTATTTATTTATATATTAGTTTACGAATATTAACTATTAAATAGTTTTTAATTTCGATATAATTTTTTATTATTTTATTAATATTTTTTTGCTATATTATTAATCATTTATTATGTTTTTTTGGTGAATTCTATTTTGATGACATAATTATTTTGAATGAATTTAACACTATGTACCACAATACATATATTTGAGTTTTGGAAACCGAATATATTTTTCATAAATTCTTATAAAAATTTATTTAATATTAAATATAATTTTGTTTGAATTTAAATTTGGACTTCACTCCGAAAATAAGGCAAGAAAGTTTATTTATTCGTTTATAATCAAACCCAAGTCATCTAAATATTTTTAAGATACATCAATTATTTTGATATTTTTTTACACATAAAATATGTGTTTGGATATAGATATATTTGTTCTTTATTGCAAGACTATAGCCAAAAAAATGTTTAGAGTTTAGAGTATAAATATGTTTTTGAGTAGCAAATTTTTACACATAAAATATGTGTTTGGATATAAATATATTTGTTCTTTATTGCAAGACTATAGCCAAAAAAATGTTTAGAGTTTAGAGTATAAATATGTTTTTGAGTAGCAAATTTTTAAATTTAAAATGTGGTAGGTTGGGCAGAAAACTTGTAGCTCTAAAAATTCACCAAACATGCATTTAAATATACATGGTATGCATTAAAAATAGTTACTTAAATATACAAAATATGCATTTTTGAACAAAAAATAGAATTTTTCTGAAGCTACTTATTATTTTAATGAATACATTTTATTTACAACTTTATTTAACAACTTACACGTTACAATTAACTATCATTAATTATTCTAATTTTATGGATTTCATATCTGGATAATTACTTTAGGTATTTTTATTTTAAAAAGTAAATAGAAGGCGTTTGGACATATGTTCGACGGTCAACCGTTGAGAAACAGCGATTATTGAAGTATGAATATGTCCGATGTCGATGACAGGCGTCCCCGATGTCCGTTTCAATAGTTTGTGCGTTGGACAGTATTTTCTCATATGTTTCGTATAAATAAAATTAATAACCCGATAATCAATTTAATTGACAATTCCTGTTTATGTTTATAGGAAAAACATGCGTCTGGGAAAAGTTAACAACCATATTAAATAAATAAATAATTAAAAATATTGATAAAATGATAAATTATTTTAAATATGCCCTAAAAACAAAAAAAAAAAAAAAAAAAACGCAAAACATGCATTTACGTGCACAATAAAATTTCAAAACTAGCTTTGTGGAAGTACGAAACGTAATTGTTCCACACTGCTATTTTTGTGACTGTGCGAAAAAAATATGTAAATGCTACAAACAGGAGCGGATCCAGAGTCGGGGAACTGTGGGTCAAGCCATTTCAAAAGGCCATTTATTAGGGATGAAACTGAATTAGAAATGAATATCTTGTAAAAAAAAAAACACAATATGCTCATAAAAGTGTATAAGTATACAGTGCTTGATTTGAAAAAATTAAAGAAAGGGGACTCTGTTTGCTTAACAAAAAATTGCGTCCCCAAAAATTGTTAAGTGTTATAATTATAACGTATTAATAGTAGGGGGACGCTAAAATTTCTAAAAATTAGAAGGGGTACTCCGTCCCCCTACGTTCCCTCTCAAGTCGAGCCAGTGCCGGATTTAACCATTGTGCCGCTTTAATCACTAAATAAATTGCCGCCTTTTATTATAAATATTTTTTTAGTCAAATAAATTTTATTAAAGCAAACAAATTATAGTTGTTTCCTTTATGATTTAACATTTTAATGATGTAAAATAAAAATATACGGCTGTAATAAAAATTCATACATACATTCATATGAAAAACTTAATTATAAAAATATGATATAAAATATAATGGTTCATTTTTAAATTATATTAAAAATTAAATAGTTTGATACCCATTGGCTTTATTAAAATAAAAAAATGTATTATTAGTTGTAATTATTTTAGTTTTAGTTACATATAATAAAAATGTAATATGAAAAATTATTTGCCGCCCTTGAAAAATTGCCGTCCTAAGTACTAGCTTATAGTGTTTCCTGGGAAATACGGCACTGAATCGAGCACTGTAAGTATATTTATATTACATTTTAGAATTAGTGATACCACCGATAATGACATATTTACGATTAATAAATATAATCTAATTTTATCAGCGCAACAAACGTACGGAATAAAATATGATTTAGGTACTTAACTTTCTACTAAATTGATATAATTGAAAAATTTTAAATTTTGAATATACATGGCATTCATTTTCCAAGTAACTCCGATGGGCCAATTGTCCAAGAGTCCAAATCAAGGTCTAAAAAGAGAAAAAAATGTCCAAGAGGCCAATTCTGTCAACAAATATTAACTGTGGGTCAGCTGTCCCCCTGAACTCCCCCTAGATCCGCCCCTGGCTACAAGTCCTCCGTCCAAGTGATGGTCAATTAAAATCAGTCAATTATATCTTACGAAAAAATTGTGGGTTGTGGGGGTGCCTGAAGCTTACACCTCCCCTCGCTAACTATGGCCTTACTGTATGGTAGTATCCGTTTATTTCGCTGATTTCACTATATGTTGGGAATTAGCGCCTAAGAGATGGTATTCGTTATGCTATTTCGGTTGGTTGTTTGTTAGAACCTCGACATCAAAAAAATAACATATATGCAAAAAGGGCCACGAGCAACCTACCATCATCCTCTCATATATGGAAATATGAAAGAATTAATAGACCTAACAGAGAGTGCTGTAGAGTGTATCAGGAGCGTACCCAGGAATATTTTATGGGGGGGGGGGTCCAACATTTTTATTTTATCTGATAATGGGTAATTTAAAATACATTATATTGCGTATGTAGACATTTCAATGGGGGATCTGGACCCCCTCCCTCTTGGGTATGCCCTGGGAGTGGATAACCAATCTGGACATTAAATTATAGTGATTTAGGTATTTTGTTACATGACTATTTGTTCATTTTATATGATTTTTTATGACTTTTTATACTTTTATTTGTATAAATTAACATGTATTTATTTTGCTATTGTATTGATGTGTGATGAGTGTCAATTAGTTGGTAGCCATACGATGAATAATTAAAATCAATTTCACTATATATTGTAAAATACACGTTATCTCTATTGTCGAACACAATTCGACGGTTTACAAGTAGCAATGTGTCTTGCGGAGTGTGTGTTCATAATTCGCTGTCGAGTACGTAATAATAATTCGAGAACGACGACCGGTGTCTCGCGGGCGGCGAGTGGGTGGGCACCGCGCGGCTCCGAATGGAATGCAGTGCGCCTCACTGCTGGTGGAACCCGCGAGCCGCGTATTGCCGTACGATCGCGTCGTAATGGGTACACGGTTTATTTTTCGTATTGTAATGAGCAGATTACGTGCGACAGAGAGAGAGTGAGAGAGAGGGCGAGTGAGTGAGTGAGCGAGAGAAAATAATATATTCCCGTCGAAGCGCGTGCACGATCGACGGCGTTTCGGCCAATCGGAATCCCGGTCGCCGAGACCATCTGATAACGGCCGTCTCCTCTCGCAACCGCTTTCCTCCGTTGGGTCTTGTATTGTTTACGAGCGCTGCCGTCGACGACCCAACGGCACCGAACGCTGCTCGCAGGTTGTCGCCTCTCCGGTGGTCCACGTTCGTTCAATTTTCCAATTTTCGTTTCTCATTGTCTTTCCGCCGCTCCGTTTTTTCGTCAACGTCCGTTGTGTTTGATATCCAATATCGCTGCGTTCACCGTATTCGTAATTTATTTCCAACGCCAGCCGACACGCTCGCGGACCGCCGCGCACCCCGTTCGTTTACCGACGACGATTATTATGCGAACGTAGTGCCGTTATCCGTCGCGCGACAACAACGATCGCCGACCGGCTCGTTTACTCGGCAGCTCCGACGAATTATATATCTCTCCAACGACTGACGAACGGACACGTTGACGTTCAAACGGCGTACGGACGGGCGAGTGGCAGATTTATAGACCGAGAGACGAACAGGCAGTCAAACTGACTGCTTCAGCGGGAAACGACAGCGTCTTGTCTGCGGACCATGGCGCTCGTGCGGCTGCGAACGACAGTAACATTGTTGTTGGTGTTGTTCTGCGCCGGCGTGCTGCAGAGCCACTCGTTCAACCTGGAAACGAGGTTGCCCATCGTGAAGCGTGGACACACAGAATCGTACTTCGGTTTTGCCGTTGCCGGACATCAGTCGTTCGATGAGCTCAAGGGAGAGGTCGAACACAGTTGGTGAGTGCTCTTTCTGCTCCTGTAAACATTCATTTATTATTGACTATTGACTCTTACAAATATACTTTCATTACATTACATGACTTTAAATTGCTTTTTTCATGATTTAACATAGATACATTTATTGTTAATTTAAATAAGTTAAGCTAAATTTGTTTTATGAAGATTTATAAACTAGTAAACTTGACAATGATTTTAAGGATTTTGGTTGGTGCTCCATTAGATCAAAATCTTCAACCAGGAACAAATCGTTCCGGTGCATTATGGAAATGTCCATTGACTTCATCATATGATGATTGTATACAGGTTGTCACTGATGGAAAGCGCAGTAAGTACATATTATTATATTACTCTGGAAGATAATTAATTACATTGATCACCTTCCATTTTTTAAATATTATACTTATTAGTTAATTTTTTTTTTTTTTAGTCATTTTGACTAGTTTATTATAAGAACATTATATGCGAATGACAATTGTATTCCTATTAATATTATGGATATTATTATAATGCATATGTCAATGATAATAATCAAAAATTAATTGAACTATTAATTTGTAAATTTGAAAAATGTCTCATGAAAATTGAGTTGTTATTAGATTAAACCATTTTTGAAGTTGATAATAATGTTTTTTGTTTTCTTTTTTAAAACAGAATTCGATAATGGTCCATATGATCCCTGTAAGTGAAATTATGGTAATTTTTTGTGTTTGTTCATGGTTTGTTTTTTTTGCAATTTGCATTTTTTAATATATTATGTGTTGCATCATAACATAATTTATTAAAGCCTATTATTATATTACATTATATGGATATACATTTTTATAATTGTATAACAAGCATTGCTCTCATGTAAATACTGCTTTATTTAGTTGAAATTTATAGCCCATCACTTTAGTTCGGTTTTAATCATATTTTGGAAAATACATTTGAAAAGTGCATGACTCAAATTTGATACATGAATAGTTGATCGCACTGTATTATGTAATACGCTTGTGATTTATATTTCAATTTATTAATTATTCCATTATATTTTTTTAATCCATTATGTATTATAAGTATTATTTTGCATATCATTTTATTTATCAGGAATTAATTAATTAAATGTTAAGATTTATTACCAATCTATACCACCAACGTTTATATCAATTATATGATATTATAATTCCGAAATTTTCAATAAATTATGAAAATATATTGAAATGTAATACTTTGATAAGTTTTAATGTAATATATTAAATAAAATCTAAAAAAAAATAATGATAAAATGATAATGTACCTTAATAAGTAAAAATTAAATATCATCAATATATTATTTAATATTTATGATTGTATATTTTAAAAATGTCTTGGAATAGTTTAAATGTGAATATGTTTAGAAAATATTTAATTTATAAATAAATAAATTTTAAAATATAAATATTTAATGAAATTCAAAGCTGTATATATATTCCTAGTTTATAGAACACCTTTAATTTTGCAATTTTTTAGGTTTATTCCCTGGGCTGGATCAAGGGGAGGGCTAGGGTTGGCTATAGCCTGGGCTACTAATGGAAAGGGGCTACAATGTGTTAAACTAATTGTTGGCTAGCAAAATTTGTTAATTTATATTTAATATAAAGCCTTGTTTTATTAATTAGTTGTGACTATACTACAATATACAAATACAGGTATACTATACTTATTTTAATTAATATTTATTACAAATTACTAAATCTGAATGAAAAAAAAATGGAATACTATTGGTTGGAAGGACCTCACAAAATAAAAATAATAGCGCTCCTAATATAACCATAATCTTGTTCTGTTTATTCTTACAGAGATTTTGATAAAAATAATCATGACAATGTCAAAATATAATGGTCTGATTTAGTTTCAAAGTTATAATACTGTACAATTTTACTGTTTAGAGCAATATATTTAATTTCTGTGTATTTCATATTATGTTGAATATATGAGTCTTGAAGAAAACAATAAAACTTATTTTTTAGCAAAATACAAAATTGTAATGTAAGTATTAACTTAAATGTAACAGTATCTAGATTAGGATATTATCTGTCTTATGGTTTGGAGCCTCATTCCCACGTAGAGTGCCACATAGCAGCGCTAGTATGGACCATCACTAATGCTGCTGAATAGCATCACTGATGGTGAGAATATCTGGTAGACATAGCGATTAGTTCTTTCATCCATTTTTAAAAACTATAAATAAAAGACGAAAAAATGACCAAATTATCATTGTATACTATTTCTTATATTAGTCATTGAAATTTGGATAGTGATGGGTGTTATCTCCATAAAAAAAATTGTACATTTCAAAGTGCTAGAACTTTAAATCTAACATTTTTCCTATATTTTCGTTTATAAAATTGTCTACAAAATGTTAAAATACATAGATTTCTAACAAAAATTGCAAAATTGAGTGTGTTTTGTAATTTAGGAATGTTTTGATTATTTATTTTCTGAAAATATTTTAATGGATTGAAATCGAATATCGAATCAGTTATATTTATTAGTACTTTAAAATAAGATAGATGGAATAGTGTTCCGATGTTTAACGTGATAGATAGGACTCGGAAGTTGATGGCTTTAAAAACATAAAAAAATGACCTAAAAAATATGCAAATATGACATAATAATGACAAAAAATGTCATTAAAAATTAAATAAAAAATTTACAAATATTTGTTTTATACATTTATTAAAACTTACAAATTACTCAAAAATCAAAATCATTGCATTGTTCAATTAGAGCGTATTTGATGTTATAAAAAGTAAACGAACAATCAATTACATTATCTGTTTATAAATATTTATATTTGGAAAAACTTCTTTCCATGTCTACTGAAGTAATTGGGAGACGCAGACGAAAACTAACCAACGCTTTAATTTTCAGCATTTTGAAAATATCACGAAAAAATAATAAAATTTAGTTATAATAGATATTATTCATTACAACACGACAATGTTGAATGTAATGAAATCGGATAGGTAGGTACTAATCAAAGACTGTGATAATTACCAAGTCTTAAGTTATCGGGATAATATTCGAAAATTTATTAACCGTCAAATATTATTATACTATTATTATTATAGTTATTTATTATACATTGTAAATTGTACACTGTCCGTATAAATAAATAAATAAATAAAAAATAATGTTATGAAAGAAGTGAATTAGTGTGAAATCAGTAAAAATGACTATAAATTTGGGGAAATTACCTAAAAATATCAAAAATTGACTTAAAATGTAAAAATGTATAAACACCAAAAAATGCAAAATAAAAATTAGTTATTCGAATTCATACACTAATGAAACATATTTGTGGCCTGGAGAGCATCGTCTAAAAAGTTCCAAAAAAAAATGTAAAATGTATCAACTTCCGAGCTCTAGTGATAACCTTGCCTCTCGCTAATTTTTATGAAAGTGAAAAGCTTGATAAAAAAAGAAAATGTTCAAAATCTGGCTGCTTTATTTTGATTATAAATGAAAAAGCCTACAAATGTTACAAATGAAAAAGCTTATTTAATATAATAACACGTGTAATTTTTCATATTTTAAATTATATTACGTTTTTCTAGAGTTTTCTTGAACCTATTCTGTTTTCGTAAATTATATTGATATATTAATTATATTATGTATAATTATATTAACATAAATATTTAAATTATCATTTATAATTTATTTTAATTTTAGTTTCTATGTTGTCATAAATATTTTTTTTTGCATGAAGTGATGCATAGTATTATAATAGCTTTATGCTTTACGAAAATAAAGTTTATGATGTCATCTGAATCAATTTCAGTTTTAGAAACTTGGCTTGATAGAAAATTCGTATAAACACAAAATATTGATAAGCATAATGCATAAGTGATATTGAATGGCATGTTAAAATGCACGTACACATATTAAATTAATTTATGTACATTAATGCCAATTTTTTGTATGCACGTTAAAAAATTGTTTATATGTAAGATTAGTGACTCATTTCAATGTTTCAACCTTGGTTTTTAACACTTATTCGATATTGACTAGGTGGCATTCCACTTGTAAGGAAACGTGCCTAAACAGTTAATAGTTGCAGCTTGTAGGTATGATTAATTTAGGTTTTTTAAATGCATATTGTGAAAACGCATTATTTTCATAGTGCACGACTCTAATGTTAAAAACAAGTATTCACAATTTTTTTATGTTTGCTGTTATATATGTATATTTTAGGTATAAAAACATTAATTTTTTTTAATTTATTCAGGTTCCAAAGACTTACTCCTACTGTGTATAGTATTTATTATGTAACATATTAAATAAATATATTAATATATTGACACATATTAATAAAATAAGAAAACAACAGGGTTGCCAAGTTATATGTAGTGTAGTATTTCTTAATATTTGTACTACGCTGACATTATTAATATATTTTATATTTTGTAACACATTATAAAAAAACCTTATACAGTGAAACCTCCACTAACGGACACCTCCCAATAGCGGAGTTTTTTGGGGAACGGGGACATTTTCACTTCTTTTCAATGGGAAAACCTCCGAATAACGGACACTATTTTAATCTCTATTTGAAAATAATACGTATTCAATTTCGTATGTACTCTCGTAGTAATGTAATTACGATAACAAATTCGTAATGGACCATAAGATTACGACTCTTTGGATGCTTTGTCTGCTGTAAAGAGCATAAATCATTCTATTTCGTCAATAGAGGTAAAGAGCAGTTCTATTTTTACTTCTGCTATGATATTAGCGAATAATATGACTAATGAGATTGCACAGAAATGGTGTAATTATAAACAAACAAAGCTCAACGATTTTTTCAAACAAAAATAATTTAAAAATCCATGTATGTACATAATTGTGATTTTGATTGTAAAAATATACCTTAAATAATAATAATTAGGTAATAATAATTTGTAAAAATATAAAATGTAATAATTTACAATAAATAATAAGTAATAACATTATACATTCATACATACATACATACATACATACTACATAATTATATAAATAAATTTCAAAAGTATCCTCTCTGAATAACGGACAAAATGTTGGTGACCGAGAGTGTCCGCCATTCAGAGGTTTCACTGTATAATATAAAATGGAGATGTATTAATATTTGTTTAATTATAAATAATTTAATGAAAGTTCTAAAATCAAAAGGTTTTAAAAAATATAACTTATTTTATTGTATAAAATATCAATATTTGTACATCATATACGAAAATATTCGTACATTTTGTGTCATTTAATATACTTCTCGACACACTTGGACTTTTGACACATCAATAAGGCACGTAAAAATGGTTGAAAAACATAGATGTAGTAATCTTAGAATAATAAAAATAGTTGGCGTTATTTTTAGTTTGTTATAGGAGTTGTATAATAATTTGATTATTATTAATTTTATTAAAAAAAAAACAATTTTCAAAATATTGGGTAAGATCTAAAATAATCGAATATTTTTATTTGTACTATAGAATTGTAAATATACAACAAAAATTATTAGTTAAAATATCTTAAAGACAAGTGTAAGATAAGTACATTATACATTTTTGTTATCTTTAATGGATTATTCAGTTGATTTAAAACGTTAATTTAATATAATGTAGTAAGATAAGTGCGTATAAAATGTTATTTTAATATATAAAACCATTAATGTTACATAGAAATTATTTAGGGAAATTTATGAATAAACGGTGTACAATAGCTTTATTTAAAATATACTCAACATTTTCAACAGTCTTATCTTGTTTTATTAATTTTTACTGGTAAGTTGTTTATCGAAAAAATATATCTATTTTATTATGATCGAATTAATATACTTGTTTTGTGAAATATAAAACAAACAAAGTTCATTAGTTATATTTTGTTATTGTGTGTCAAGTAAATTTATCATTAAATATTAAATAATAAAATTAATTATGATGAATAATGAACGTGTGAGTAATTCGGAAATCGTCAAGTTAAATTGAAGATTGAAAAAAAAGCACTTGATTAATGAAAAAAATATTAATTTTGAAAATATAAATACAGTAGAACCTCGATTGTTCGAGGTAATGATGGAAAAGGATAACAGATGAAGGAAAAACACGGTTAATTGAGACTTTTTATTAAACGAATTATGAAAAAATGTATAATGTTGTACGCATATTAAGTGTTTTACAATGTTATTTTTTCAATGACTATTTTCAATACGGCTATAGCAAATGCTAAAAACACAAAAATAGTATGGAATAAATTCGATTGAATTGAAAATTTCCTATATGTATTAGTTATAACGTGATTAGATAAATATGATTGTTGAAGAACCTCTATTAGTCTCTATTAATCTTAAATAACTCTTATCTACTTGTGACATTTATGTCAATTTTTTTGTTGTTGAAAAGGTCGCTTACGTTTTTCAATTATGTATATTATGTTCATGATAAAAAAAATACTTTCGTCCGATTTAATAAAACTTTTTAGACGAAAAATTTTGAACGTTCATAATTTTGGAAAAGTGAGCACGGTTAATCGCGAACACGAATAATCGAGACACGGTATTGAGTTAAAAGTTTTCAATTATTAAAAAATCTTAAACATAATTTTTGTTTTTTGTTTTATAAAAATAAATTATATTTTAGTGTAGCATATTATGTTACAGACTAAATTTATTGAGGATAATGAACTCTATATAAGATTAAAAAAAATGTATTTGTAAAATAAAAGAGACTGTAAAAATGTTTGTTACCCAGCCGCCCGGTCTACCACATTCCTGAAGCCTACTTTTTTTGTTTCCGTTTAAAGACTGTACAGATGGTGTACCATATTCCATATCGGTGTTAGGTGGCAACATAATATCTATAGAAGTACAGTAGATACTTATTTTAAGACTAGAAGAATTTAATAGAGGGCCATTTGTTGTATGTTACTTATTTTCCCGTTAAAGTCTAGTGTCATTGATTAGTTACTCATCTTACAAAATTATTTACATTTATCATACGTTAAATAGTTTCTATTTTCTAATAAATGTTGCGTCGGATGAACAATAGAGTATGTTAATTATATCCAAGAACGGGTTCATATATTCTTTTAGACCGTATATTCATGCGTAATTAAACATAATTGTACGTCTTTATATTTTAATATTTTGATTGGTACGGCTTTCATTTGTTTATTCTAGTATTGTTATTATAAGAAATTGCTGAGTATAGCGACGATAAAAAATATTTTTTATGCATTAGGTCATAATATAAATTTTTTTTATATGCAGATATGCTTAATAAAGAAATTCAACAACAAAATACTGGCCGTTACTTTCAGTTTGTCGGTTTGTTTTTTAGGATGAATTTTTATAAAAAATTACTTCATATTTTGTATATTTTTTACATTAATTTTATTATTAAATGCATGACTTAATTCATATGTAAATTTACTACATTATAATTACTTACAATTTTGTTCAACGTTTTTTTACATTTACATTAATGTAATTAAATATTTGTTTTGTTTTTTTTTTTTATACATAATTGTTCTGTCTAAACTAACGAAAACCAATCCGTTAATTTTAAAGATGTAAATAAAGAAATAAACCTCTCAGTAGTTTTAATAACTGATATGGAATATAATCCAAGGGGTACTCAATTTTTATATTTGTGTATAAAATAAGGCCAGCAGCGTAGAAATAATAATATTAATTTACTTTATATAAATTAATGTATTAGCTCAATAATCTGGGGCTATTGTTTAAATTTATGACTATATAATATTTTATATAATTTTATATATTTACATGAAATTTAAGTAAAAGGTATTATATTAATAAATAAAGAAAATAAATTATTTTTATTTACTATTTCACGAAGTACCATTTTTAAAATGACTACTACTGAAAGACTGAATGAAAAGAGGAATGTATTAGTCTTACCACGACGTGTGTTTTTTTTTTATACCGTTTACACGATTCCGACCAGAAATGTAAATAAATGTGATTTATTGCAGTATGTAGAAAAATTACACAATAGACTAAGTTTAAAATAGAAGTGTATTAAAAAAACAGATTCTATTTCATTAGGTGAAATAATTAATACATATATATAATATCTAATATGTGTTTAAATTCATTTTTCGTCTTGTTTAATTGTGATTATGATATAGGTTAATTCGCATTTATTTGTTTGTTGTATCCTCATTTTATAATGAAAACGTATTTACATGTGATATATGTTTAATTGCGTTCGCATTTTAAACACATGATCGATTATTCTATGACTGTAATATTTATCAATATTATTCCAAAATATTCGATAGTGTGTAACGGTTTTTTTTTCTAAATTAATCTGATTAAAATGTTAGCAATTGAGTTAAAAATACTTTATGTTTTGGTTATCAAGACCATGAAAATAAATATATGAAAGCAATTAATTTAAGTGCAATTTGTTTTCTAAAATATAATAAACTAATTTCTTCTGTGTTAAACTATTAACTTAAAACTATTTACATTCATGTAATGTTGTCTATAAATTGTTTACATAGTATATTGGCAACATATGCAGTATAAACAGACAACGTGTCGTTATAATACACTGTCTAACAGTAAGGGTATACATTTACGATACAGTTAAATTGTTTAGAATAATTTAAACATAGCTTTATTAATATGTTATATATTCATTAATTAAAAGGGAAAGCTTGTGAGCTTATTCATGATGACAATATGTTATGATCAGGGCTCGGAACTTATAGCACTAAAAATCATTAAAATAAGCGCTTAAAAAAGTCCTTAGAAATATTAATATAAGCACTAAAATAAGTATTTAAAAATATTTTTATATAAAAAAAAAAAAAAACTATAAAATTCTAACTAAAAAAAATCAAACAAAATAAAAATAAATCTTCAATTTCAAGACTTAAAGGATTTTATGGATTTCTAAGGGATTTTTCTGAAAAATAAAATGTAAACTGTTCTCTCTGTCCTTGATCATTCTGACGTATGACACTCAGTTCTATTTTCAGCGTTGGAATATCTTTGTTAACCCTACAACGATGCCTTGGACGACGACAAACTACGTGACGACGTAGATTAGAATTAATTTTAATTTTAATTCTATCAAAAAAGACTTTGCAGGAGAAAACTATAAAAAGGTAAAAAAAACTGGTCAAATAAGCATAAATAATCAGAAAAACTGGAAATAGGCATTTTTTTTTAAAAATTGCTGAAAAAAGCAAAAAAAAAGCTCTTTCAAATTTCATAATTGTACGTGTTATAACTTGATATACGCTTCTATAGTACTCTGTTATATTTTAAGTCAATCCATAAAAATAAGCAAATGCTTTAACTCCTGAGCCCTGGTTATGATAAATCGCGATCTGAATATTGTGAATATTTATAGTCTGTGTACGTTTTTTAAAACAAATCTTAATTTGTAGATCAATTAAAAAAAGTAATGTACATTAAAAATGAGTCGTATATTTTCTCATTGCATGAAAAATTTATAGCATTTAAGGTTTTCTAGTTTGTAATATATGGTTTTTATTGAATTGGTTTTATTTTGGTGCATTAAAGTTTTCAAACTTGGTTAAGCTAATCGGTGTAAATAATATAGTATATATAACAAATGGTTATGTTATGTCATACAGACAGAAGAAATATAATTTCTCAATGTAGTTATCAACATTAAGTGTCGCGTCACACTATCGCGGTTTCTTTCGTAAATATCATCTCGTGTGTGTTTATGGAATGTGACACACTTGGGTGTTTCCACCTTTCCACCGCTTTCTATCGCTAGCCGCCACACAACGCCGTTGCATCGCTAGAACTATTTTTGAACGCTCAAAATAAAAACCCATAGTTTTCATTCACATGCACCACACTACAGCGATGGCAACGCGAGTTTTCAGTGTAAAATAAATATTAACAATTTATTCAAAATGAGTTTTTTCGATACTGAACTTTTTATTGTAGAAGTAAAAAAAGAAGAGTGCCTTTGGAAAATTAATTTCAAAGAGTATATGGTGGACCACTAAAGCAAAAACCTGGGCTAAAATTGTTTCAACCATGTATCAATTATAATGGAAATCGAACTTACTTTTGATCTTCTTACTTCTGATGAAGGATGAACTTTAATCAAAAATCGAATTTACTTGTGATATTATAATTTATACTAATATATATTGTAATCACTATGTACAACCCACGTGGACAATGAAAATTGTACAACTGAGAACGTTAAACCGCGTTGAACCGCTTTTAGTGGTTCACGAATTTACCGCGCGGTGGTTAGCTTTACCGCGCGGTGCCATCGCGATAGTGTGACGCGACACTAAAGGCTTAATCAATTTGTGTTTGTGTGTACACAGTATGTGTACACATGTAGATATTAATACGCTTTAATAATTTTGCAGAAATTTGATTAAAAATGTTTTTAGTTGTGATTATCATTTAGTGTTTTTTTTATAGCTATCGATTCTATAAATCTCTCACCACCAATGAATGATGAAATTAAAGATGGTCAATGGTTAGGTGTAATGGTACGCAGTCAAGGACGTGGTGGAAAAGTTATGGTATTGACAAAATATTTTTATATCTTATAACTTTTATCTAACGATTATTAAATTATATACATTTTTTCAAGAAAATAAAATATATGTTGTTACCATTAACGAAAATAATTTTTCAATTTGGTAGAGTTAGAAGAAAATAGACTTATCATAACTTTGAATATTAATTAATTATTAAATAGCATGTAATCATAAATAATATTTCAATGTTTATTGAAAATATTTTTTCCATGGTAGAATTTTCTTCAGTTAAGTTAACCAAAAAAATAACTCAATAATCAAAATGTACAGACTAAATTTAAATAAAAATCATTATAATTATAAAATGATTGACATTTTTTTTTTTTTTGTGAATTATTAGTTATATGCCTATATTCTTAAATATTAAAATATCTTATAAATAAATAAATAATTAAATAAAAAATAAAAATTAGTAAATAAATGTATAAATAAGTAGTTTATATATACACAGTGTGTAAACGATAACTAAGTGTTCTCAGTCAATAAAATTGCGTAAAGATCTGCAATTTGAATACTGTTTTTAGTTGGTTTTTATTACATAAAGTACATTAAGTATGATCTTCGAATTTCTTTAACTTGATTAGACAGGCGCATGCACATTACAACGTTTTTTTCTTAAATGACAACCACTAATTATTTTTCACCTAATTTTTATTTGAATTTTGGTAGCTTAACCAATTTTCTAAGTCCAAAGTTGACCAAATTATAGCAATTTAAAAAAACAATGGTAAAATGTACGGGATTTTCAGTATTTTTACTGTAATATTGAAAATAAATGTTCTAGTGTTATACAGACTTAACATTTTTATTCCTATTTATTAAAATGATATTTATATGTTTTTATAATTTTAACTGCTGTACATTTTCACTTAAATTTGTACAAGAATTGTAATTTATAGCATAAAATAAGTAAATAAATAAGTATGTTATTTATTTCGCTATATTAAATGGATCTATTATAATGCATGGAATGTATTAATAATTAATAAAAATATATTTCTTATTTAAGTTATATTTATTTATTAAATAATTTATCGAATAAATTGTTCAAATAGTTGTCCTAACCTATGCTAGATCCATTTGATCTAGCGAAATAAATAACATACTTATTTACGGTTTTATTAAAAATGTGAAGTCTGTATAACACTAGAACATTAATTTTCAAAATAACAGTAAAAATATTGAAAATCCCGCGCATTTTTCCATTGCTTATATAAATTGCTATAATTTGGTCAATTTTGAACTTAGGAAGTTGGTTAAGCAACCAAAATTAATTAAAAATTGGGTGAAAAATAATTATTGGATAAAATAGGCGGTTGCCGTTTAAGAAAAAAAAGTTGTACTGCGCATGCGAATGCCTAGTTAAAAAAAATTCTATGATCATAAAAATGTGTATTTTTATGTAATAAAAACCAACTTAAAAACAGAATTCATATTGCAGATCTGTACACAAAGATATTAAGTGTTCTCAATTAATATCTACTTATTGTATATATGCGACCACTGTTAGTTTAATTGACTTTGTATAAATCTGATGATGCATTTTTAATTCGAAACTGATCGTACATTACAAATAATAATACTCCAGGCTTAGCATTTGTATATTTATTAATTTATATGAGTATATATTAATTTTATATATTTATATATTCTTGAATTAAACATTTTAGGTATGCGCACATAGATATATAAATCGAGGTGAAGAGTATCAGTGGGGACAAGGTCTTTGTTATACTTTAACCCAAAACCTAGATTTTGTTGAAGCTATGGTTCCGTGCAAAGGCCGAGAAACTGAAAAGTTGGTTCATTTTATTTGTACATACTTGGATGGAGTTGTTGTAAATATATTTTTGAACAATTTTTAGAGGTCAAGCACAGTTCGGTTATTGCCAAGCTGGCACTAGTGGTGTGTTATTGGAAGATGATACCGTTGTCATCGGTTCGCCTGGATCTTATAATTGGAGAGGAAATATTTTTATGGTTAGTGTATCCGATGATTTTTTACACAGAGACAAAACTTGTTACTACAGTCCTGTTCGTGACATTGAGGTTTCTCCTGTTGAAAGTCATAGTTATTTAGGTAACTTAATTTTATTTTATTCAATATTAATGTTATAAAATAATTGTGTTCGTCCTAAAGAGCATTAAACCTAATTTTTTTATTTCTTAGGTATGTCTACAACAGCTGCTTATTTCTTAGGCGACCAAAAAATGGTTTATGCAGCCGGTGCGCCGCGTGCCAATGGAACAGGCCAGGTCGTACTATTTACTAAAATAAAACCATCTGTAAATTTGATGGATGTAAAACTTGTGATTAGTGGAGAACAATTTGCTTCTAGTTTTGGTTATGAATTAGCAACTGCTGACCTCAATGGGGACAAGTACGTAGTGAATTTTTTTATATAAATTTAAGCATTTATTGAAACTACATATTTATTAGTAAACTTTAATTTGATAATTTCTTTGTATAAATGTTAAATACCTAAATTTTAAGTTGTAAACAATTTCAATGCATATGAAATAAGAATGCATATTATAATTAAAACAGGGAACCAGATTTAATAGTTGGTGCTCCATTTTATTTCAACAAAAAAACGGGTGGTGCGGTTTATATTTATATGAACAATGAAAATCACTGTCTTAATTGTGCACCGCCTATTAAGCTCGTAGGAAAACCAGAATCCAGGTTTGTAGTTCTTTTTTATAAATATTTGCATTAAATTATTTAATTTAATCATGTGTGTTATTTGTAGATTTGGATTTGCAATAACAAATTTAGGGGATTTAAACAAAGATGGATATGATGATATAGCCATTGGAGCACCGTATGAAGGCAACGGGGTTATTTACGTGTATAAAGGTTCAGCTCTTGGAATAGTAACAGAACCTTCACAAGTTAGTCTAAAATGTCTGCATATTTTTAAGTATAAAGATTATATTAATTTGATATTTAACGTCTGTATAGGTTATTAAAGCTGAGGATTTGGTGGTGGACAATCTACAAATACGTACTTTAGGTTATTCATTGAGTGGAAATGGGGTGGATTTAGATCAAAATGGTTACCCAGATTTAATATCAGGTGCTTACGAAAGTGACTTGGTAATATTGATTAGAGCACGGCCAATTGTAAACATAACCTCTACCGTTGGTCCTGCTGAAAATCTTCGTAATATCGATCCGTCAAAAGCTGGTTGCTTGACTGACAAAGCCTCGACAGTCACTTGGTATGTTGTGAATGTTAAAATTAATATTTATTTCATACCATGTATTATTATTGTTTTTGTTCATAGTTTTACCTTCGAAACTTGTTTTAAGTTGGAACCCTTGGTTCTGCATGATTCCGTTAAAGAATGGACTGTTCAAATACATTATAAATTGGAAGCAGAAATATTTCAAGAAGATCTCAAATTTTCAAGGGTTTGGTTCGGGCCAGATCATAATTTGCAATCTTCGACAATTGAGAATGATGTTTCCAACGTTTACTATAGGAATATCCTATGTCAACAACACACTGCATACATCAAAGTACTGTATATATTATATGAATCTAACCTTTTGTTGAATTTGAAATGTATTAAATTGAGCAAGTTAACTAATTATCCTAGCTCGTTATGCTATGTTTATTTACAATGATTTATACAAAAAGTTAAAAAATACCACTTTGAATAAGTTAATTTCTAAAGTTATAACTTAAATAGAAAAAGTATATAAATAAATATCTTAGAATATTATTATATTTTTAGTATATACGACCGGCTTTGAATTAAAAACTCATCATCAGGTACGAGGCACGATGCCGTATAATAAAGTCAATAAAATCGTGACTTATTGACCTTGTGAGTCTTGATTTTATTGAATTAGTATTCATTTTTACTTAAATAATATTATTGTATCTATATAAAACTACGACTTTACGAGTATGTCTATTTTTTCGATCCCTTTTGAAATTCAGGAATAGAATTTATTCAAAACCTTTACAATTTTTTTATGGTTCTTACTAAATTGTTTATTAATCACAAAAATGTATACAAAAAATGTTTTATTATAATTTAAATTAAGAAATAAATTAACTACTATAAAATCAACTAACTATTTAGTAGTTGTATTTCAAGAAAAATATTTTAACTTGTTAAGTTATATTAAAAAAAAAATTACCACTTTAAGTAGAACTACTTTTAGTTAAAAGTAATTAAATTTTAACTTTTTAACTCGTTGATGCTCAGCCTTAATATAGTTAGTATAATATTGTTATTTGTGTTACGTTACAGGAGAACACTGTTGACATTCAGTCTCCTATAGCTTTACGTATAACCTATTCTTTGAAAGAGAACGAGATCCCCGTTTTTAAGCCTGGCGATCCATTTCCTTCATTGAACGGTATGCCTCTATTGGTTCAGAACCAAAGCGAAAAAACGTTCTTTGCTTATTTTCAAAAGGAATGCGGTGATAATGATATATGTGAAAGTCAAGTTCAAGTCCACGCTGAATTAATGTTAACTAAAATCCATGGTAAGTTTATATGTTTAGTATGTTTATATAGTGAGTATAATACTAGGTAATATTTCATTTTGTGTTATTTTTTTTAACCATAAAATCATTAGTCGAAGTTTGTTTCATCGGTATCTTGTTTTTTTAGACACTCAATATGAATTAGTCATCGGACAGAATTCTGCTATAATTTTAAATATGACAGTATTCAATAATGGAGAATCTGCATATGAAAGCAGACTGTTCGTGCATTTCCCATCTTCGTTTAGTTACATTAATACCGTAAAACAAAATGAAGTAGGATCAATAATTCGTAATATTGGAATCGATCAAATAATGTTAACGAAATGTTTTTATAGACGAAATATGTGAATTGTAATCCATTCAACGACACCTTTGTTGTGTGCATTCTTGGAAATCCGTTTAAGAAATTTGCCGTATCTAATATCCAATTGAAATTTGATTCAAAAGAATTAAATGGTATCGGAAATCAATTAGATTTTTTAATTGTATCTAATACCACTTCTCGTGAAGTTAAACCTCAGGGCCCTCTTGTTTTACGGGTCAATGTGATCAAACGAGCTGAGTTATTGCTGACAGGGTAAGAATAGAAAAATTATCTATAACATCTATGTCAGCGTAATATTGATCTTAGGTCGGCCCGACCGGAACAAGTATTTTACGGTGGTCAGATAAAAAGCGATTCATCCGTTAAGTACTACGATGAAATTGGTTCTAGAGTATTACATACTTACCAGGTGTTCAATTCTGGTCCGTTGAAAGTATCTAACCTCGAAGTGCATGTAACTTGGCCTTTTCAAGTAGCCAGTCACTACAATCCAGGGAAATGGTTACTGTATTTGGACGAGATACCCGTAGTCAAAGGTCAGTGATGGAACAAGCCGACAACTAAGAAATCAATTTAAATTATTTATTATACTAATATTTTTCTCGTTAGCTCTCAATGGTGGTACATGTAATATATCACAAGAATACATAAACCCGTTGGGTCTATTAGTGCGTTCAGAAGTTCACGACGTGCTTCATCCGCACGAAAGCATTGACTCTGTAAAAGATGCTTTGGTTAATCAAATGGATTTAAACTCCACTACTGACAAAAACAGCGGCAAGGAGTATTATCTGAACAGAGTTCGCAGAGAACTTAATAACATTGTTAATACCGAGTCGTACGTTAGAAATAAAGAAAAACCTCTAAGATTTGTCAAAATAGTACGTCGTAATCACATTTGTTGCTGTATACGTGTGCAGTTTATTTATTTTTATGTTCTCAGGACTGTTTGTTGGGTAACGCCGAATGCTTCAAGTTCCAGTGCGTGGTGAATAATTTGCAAAAAAATCAAGAGGCTACTATATTCATTAAAGCGAGGTGAGTGCTTTAATTTTTCACAAGATGAATAGCACAAAGTTTTCAATACTTTGATATTGAATTTTATTTTATGCATAGGCTATGGAGCAATACATTGCTGCAAATATCACCGAAAGTCGGTTCAGTTCAAATCGTATCACGTGCGAAAATACATTTACCATTTGAATTATCTTTGCAACAAAATCGTTCAGACGATAAGTTTGAAGTGAGCTTTTGATTTATAGTAATGTTTTGTTTAGTGATAAGATGACTACAATTATTGTAACGAGATTCGGGGCTATAGAGCATTGTTATTTTTTTTTTTTTTTAGATTTTCATTAGGTATCGTTTAAAATAAAAAAACTCGTTTGAATAATTTTAATGCGATTTTGACAGGTAGTGACTGATGCCTTATTATTAGCTTTGTTGGAGCAAAAAGAAAACGGAATATTGTCTTGGTGGTACATCGTACTGGCGGTGTTGGCGGGTATTTTGTTGTTGGCACTGTTGGTTTATTTACTGTGGAAATTAGGGTTTTTCAATAGACGACGACCCGATTTCATGCTAAACGGTGAGGTTGAAGAAGAAGAGTTGGACGAAAGTCATGAGTTAATTACAAGAAATTCATAACCGTATAATAGTGTTTATAATAGTGTTTTCCTTTTGATTAGCAAAAATGTATATAAAATATATTTAAAAGACTTTTATTCGAAATACTTAAGACTAAAATGATAAACTATACTTGTATATTTAATACTAGAGTAATTATTATTTTTACATGTATTCATTGTACGTTTCCTACTTATATTTATATGTACATATAAACTATTGTTCGTATAAGTATATAATGTGTTATTTAAATATATTCGTTGTACGTTTTATAAAAGCGTAATTTTATTATTCCGATCTTATCGAACATTTCGTTGCGATCAACAATTTTGAACTTTTCGACGTTATCATTTTCATACAGGTTTTCCTCCGATTCATGTGATATTGTGACAATGCAACAATAAACGTTGTCATTATAACACTTCGGCAGTAATCGTGTTTTTGATGTCGTTGATCTGCGCGGAGTTGAAAGATACTGTTACAGTGCGCGATCCATTTTTTTCCGGCGTAAACACTTCTCTGTGGGTGACATTCTTTTCATCGGGCAAAACGTCTCTGTGGGAGGAGAGAGGACGAAAAAAAAAAGTTAAAACAATAACCGTTCACATAACAGCAGCAGTAAGAATAATGTACTGCGACGCCGAAGAACTATCAAGTTACTGCAGCGATGCAGTATATTTACCTGAATTTGATCACTCGATGAATGGCTGGTCCTTCGACGCTGAACGTGCAGTCGGTTAAGGTGACGGAGAGTGGGTTGGTAAAAGAGAACGTTGCTTCGCACGGTTGGTTCAATCGCGGCTGGGAGTTAAGCTGGAATAATAAACGAAGAAAAGTCAGACTCGTAGGACGCGCGCGTAGACGGGTGCGCACTGCGATGGGAGGGTGTGACAAGGCGAGAAACCGTTTATCGGCCGAACCGCGCGCGATTTTTTTTTAATTTTAATCGAATTAAATTATTTGTGAGTTTTCCCATCGAACCGTCATTCCAAACGAGGCACGCTGCTCGCCCAGGGATAATATTACCATATTAATCATAAACAGTTTTTGCGCGTCTCGTAGAGGAAAAAATGAATTTTTCGTTTACGACTCGGTCCGCTGTTTCGGTTTCTACTTTTCCACGGACAGAGCGGTTCTTCGCCGTCACACTTACCGTGATGGAGAGCTGTGGTTTTTCCACTACGAAATCGTCGTCTTGGTTCCACAACTGTTCAGTGGTCAGGACGTTGGCCACGGCAGTTATTCTGATCAGACTGTGTGCCGACAGCTTGTTCATGTACTCCGATGGTTTCACGTACGTATGGATGTTTTCCTCTAAACAGACAAGTATGATTTTAATAAGTACGGTACTGGCAATGATGTCAGCCGATCGATGTGACGATAACGATTTCGTTAGTGTAGTATGCCATGACGCTCGTTGATCTCGTAATTTTTTACCGGAAATGATATCAACGGCGGATCGCATGAGAAACTGCAGTGTTAAAAAAATTCGACGTCTAGTTTAGCTTTATCACTTTAACGTTGAGCCGTGGTAGCTCACGAGTGGCGCGATGCTCGGGTTAAAATCGATCGCCCGAAATCTCTAACAAACCGTGGACCCGTGCGTCCGATGAACGATTTCATATTTTCACTCGACCAAACTTTTGATTTGAAAACAATTAAATTAAATTGAACACATTTTGAAAAAATACTTCCAAAAAGCATAAAACGTAATGCGTAACATAGCAAAATCAAATTTCAAAACCTGCAATTTCGTGGAAAAAACGACACGGTTACCGATCAGAACGAAATACTCGGCTGCGAACGGAATTCATTTGAGCGCAAGTCGTTTTCAAATGACGGATTCGTACGTGATTATTATAATAAAGCTGATTACGAATAGTTTGATATTTTGATAAAAAAAATTACAGTTGTGAAAACAACCGGTTGAACGAAAAGTTCTAGGACGAGTCGACAGCGACTTACTCTGATTGGGTTTCAAGACGATGTTAGCTTGGCTTCTTTTCAGCTTGTGAATCGTGGTGCCGGTGTACAGTATCGATGACGCGGACAGCACGATGGAAATGGACCGCGGTTCCGGTGACGTGTTCTGCAGTGAAAAAGTTTGTGAAATCACGGTAACGAGTTAGTAATGATAATAACGATTGCGATCGGTATGCGAAACTATAAATGTCGGCTTACGTATACGCTGATTGCGATCTTGAAGCTTTCGCCCAGAGTGATCTTTTCGATATCGAACAATTTGAAAACGACATCCTCGACCTGCGTATCTTCCAAGTCATAAATCTCCTGAGCGATCGGCACCACCTTGATTGCTTTTTTCACGGCTATTTTGTCTTCCGGCGAGTCTGAAAAAAATTCGATCCTGTTAATGTATATTTTTCTCTATATAATATTCGTCTCGTTACATAACAACGTGTCGTCCTGCTCACTTCACTCCTCGCAGGGAAGACAATTTAATAATTCGCACATCCAGTCGACGCTTTCCAAAAAGGCATTGCTTTTATTATGTACAGATACCCCTTCGCGATTGCAGGTACCACCCACGTGGACGCAATTATTAGACGTCATCTCTAATCGTTTGCATTTAACTTGATAAAACACAAAACAACAAGGCTACCACCTTTCTATTATTGAATGAGAACGATTGTAACGACTAGTGGCTACGTCCACGTAGCTAGACCAATTTTGACAGTAGAATGGCGTCGATAATATATATATTGTAAATAATAGTATATATATAATAAATGCGTCTAACCGCAATGCCATCTCTACACAGTAACACATGTTATCGTGTACCGCTCTTTTGCGCGGCGTTTATCTATTTCGAATTATTATTTTACCGTCGGCTATTAATCGGCTGTTAAATCGTGATTTGTTTTTTAAGAATGTTTACGCGTTTTTATCGAAGCTACGCAATTATTACTGTTGGACAAGTTAAAATCCACCCAACAAGCGTCTAAGGGTCCGATAGGTGTTATCACTTATTGTAACATGCGTGTTCGGTAGTAGTAAATGTTTCGACTCGCGTAGAGCGTACGGCGGGCAAAAATACTACTCGTTTTTGGTGAAACACGGTTTTTTTTCGTCCGAAATGCAATTGAATCACTTGCAGTTAACGTTTACATAGGTCCGTTTGATAGCAAAATAATCGGTATAAGTATACCGGATATAAACATTTTTTTTTACCGGTTTCGAATAAATTATTGGTGTGGTACTCGTATTTTTTTCTCTTACAACACTAATAATAGGCGATTATTAGTGAATGGTTTTAATTGTCAGTGATAGTGCGAAGAGAACAAGACACACGTGTTGAGTTTAACATATATCTATGGTAAAATCAATTATCTAACCGTATGGGTTTTTATAGATCTCGGTGATGTCTTCCATGTCCTCGATTTCGGGCAGTACTTCTTCACCAATTTTTTTTGTCACAATCAGCTTACCGACGCTATAAATCAAATAAAATATAATTTGTTTTTATTAAATTTAATATTTTCTGACCATCATTAAAACTATAATATTATAACGTGCGATAATGGTAAATGATTTCGGGAAAGGAGGGGGCGTTATAATCGCACCAAGGCGTTCCAAGTTGAGATAGAAACGAATTTAGAAATTTTCTCATCTAACCTTGTCACCGATTTAATTATTATTAAAGTTAAACCGATTTGTCTCCCTATTGAAATGCACTCCGTAGTGCGAAATTATAACGATAATGATTGTTCAACAGGAAAGTACTGTCCGATTCATCGTATAGACTCGAGATTTTTCATTCGAATAAATGTAAAATCTTTAAAAAACAACAAAGGTCGCCTGTCGCTTAATGATTGTTAAAACTCGCCGTTTTAAACAACGTTATTGAGATGTGTTCGAAAATCGTGGTAAATGTTGATGTTTTACTTTTATTCTTATCGTATACTGCACGTTTAACGATCGGTTGGTCTTACGATTTTAAGGAGGAACATACAGTGAACACGTTTAAGCTTGCGTTTAATTCACGCGTTTATGCATGTACATTTGCGCTCCAAGTTAACAAAATAAAATTTAATTGAAAAGCCGAGAAACAGGATAAAAGCATGATAAAAATTTTTTTTTAATAAACTAAAATTATAATTTGTTATCATTCTGTTCGTGGAATGACACATATTATTAGTGGGAAGCTTAATATTCATAAAAAAACACATAATAAACGTTATTATTACTCGTGTTTATACTTCAATGTTCAGGCGTGTTATGGGAAAAAATTAAAAATTTGTACATAATATGTAAGTTCTCGCAAGATATGCGCTAAAAATGTAAATAACCAGATTGTGTGATTTTATTTATGTTCGCGTGAACGATCACTTGAAATTCTACAACTAAAGCACGCAGTGATGATTCGAATCAGACATGTGTGTTATCGGGTTTTGATTTTTAAATAAAATTAATCCACTCGGAATCGTAATGTTCTGATTATAATTATGTGTATGTGTATATCATAATATAATCAGTGCAGACTTCGGGCCGATGATTCCGCTGAAAGCACTTTCCATATGGTATACGCCATAAAACTTATTATAATGACTTATTGTTTTCCGAACGCATACACATTATATGTATATAAGGCAAGTATATGCATTTACATGGTATACGTAAAATATATTATGTTTGTTTTATATCGGTAACGCGATTATGTCGGGCTAATGGATGCAAGTGGTTGTTTTGACCCTTTGGCACTTGATTAATATCATATGATATTATATTCATACACTTGTTTATACTTACTAATTTGGTATGGTTTTCACTCTTGCCCAAAACCCGTCTTCGGATTCTTTGAAAACGCACATGTCGGCTCGAACTTCCGTGTAAACAAAAGTCGTGTCGAACCCAACGTTGACTTCGCCTCGCCTGACAGCTTCGACGGGCGCTGGACCGCATCTGTACATGCCTACGAGGGGAAAATGAAAACGGTCACTATTTATACGGGTTGATGGCGCTTGTCGTACCGCTTATGCTCGGTAAGTGGTTAGAAATCATATTATGGTATAACAATAAACGTGAAAAGCTGTGAGAAGTGAGAAGGAAACAATAATATCAGTTCAATCATCTTGTTGTTTATTTTTGGTATTTTCATGCGATATCACGGGCAAGATTTAAAACGCTAATAGAAAAACATCCGTGAAAAAAGTTCTTCCACCGTCGTTCGATGTCACATGTTCTTTAAAGAACGGCTAATCTTTATCTATTCATTAGCTTTCGATTGATACCGTGTTCGAAGTTCTAGAACAATTGGATTAGGTTATCTTCCACGGGAAGTAGGCCCGAATCTCGTTACTCAGGGATGAAAGTTCGGACTTGCAAATAGATTTGCACAATGAATAGTGAAACATTGGCATTGTAGTTTTAAAAACTCGCGTAACTCAGGCGATGGACCAACTTCGTAAACGAGACCGTTACGAGGAAAGCGTAAGAACTTACTATCGCTCGTCTCCTGCGGTGTGCCGTCAATGGACTGCCATCCTCCGTAACCGTGGGCCAGGTCGGGTCTGTCCATCCACACGTCGTTCCACACGTGAAAGTTCCAACACGAGTCGTTCGTGTAGCTGCCAGGATGGTTGTTGAGCTTTTCGCCCGTCACGTCGATATACGTATCGATGGTCAAACTAGCGTTCGTGTCGTGGGCTGACATGTAATTGGTCACCGACCGGCACGGAAGTCCCAGGGCCCTGCAAACTGCAAATCAAGCCGACTGGTGTTAGAGATTAGGTACCATCGATTCTCCATTTATCACGTTGCAAATGATAAAAATGAAATGAAAACAATACGAATCCATTTAGAGTTTATATTCGACGTATCTCAGGTTTTTTCAACACAGTAAACATTCCTTAAAATGGACTCTCCATAAAATGAAAATTTCCTTATTTTAAAAATAAACACCGTCTTGTTTCAAATACATACTACATATCTTCTTTAAGTGGATTCTTCATTGATCGGAAACGGAAACATTATCGTTTCAACGAAAATATAAAAACTCGTTGCGTTCGAAAAAAAAAATTTGTCCATCACAAAATATTAATATATTATATGTGATACAATAAAACTTTTCTATAGCGGACCCTATAAAATTAATGTACAAGATTTAAAAATGGCAATCTCGTGATTGGAAGATCTAATACAGTTTTTTACCGCTGTTTTAAAAACAGAGTTATAGGAACTAACAACATATGGTCGAGAACGTGTTACTTATAATCATCGAAGACAAACGAATATCACAGATCATTTTTCTAATTTACAAATGTAATGGTTAATGCATAATAAAAAAAAAAAAAATTATGTTTTTGAAATAAAAATATATATTTAGTATACACATGAATCTAAAAATACTTTTAGTTTTGAAATTATACATGTACACATTTTTAATCAATCTGTAAGACGAAAACTTTTTTTATTATGGAAAAATCAGTCTCGATTCCAAGGGAATCCGTTAGAAAGAGGTGTTATTATAGTACTTCCATAGCTTTTTAAATGTCTATATGTTTTCTTTTTTCTATTAAACTTACTCGTCACAATCACTCCGGAAAACACCCAACATTGTCCGTATTTCACTGGCAATTGTGTGTTGTAAAACTCTTCAAAAATCGGTGTGCTACCTATCCACGCGAACGGACTAGTTCCGTCCTCAAACGAACCGTCCCACTTGCCTTCAATCAAACCGTTGTCATCTACATTGTTCGTCTGCAAACACGAGGCGATATTTAATTAAATTTTTTATTAAGAGTTTTCTGCGGTATTTGCTGCGTTTGCAGTTTATGCATACGGTACGGACACAACTGTGGCTGTTTAACCGTGATAAATACAATAAATATAATTTTCATACAACGGCCATGGATCAGGGGCAGAGTAATTTTATTCGACGCACAGAAATATGTGTCATTTGTTTATTTATTTACATCAAATAATTTTTGTTTACATTTTATACTCGTTACTGTAAAGGATATGAACTTACGATAGCCGAAATGGTTCTAGCCATTTTCACAGGGTCAGCTCTGTCCTGGTGCGGGATAGACGAACGGTCCAATAACATCATGATCGACGGCAGGACAACTGCTTCGAACTGCCCGAAGAACCATTGGTATCCTTTGGGTTCTTTGTAAGTGCCTTGCCACACCTTGCCGTTGTCGTTGAGTACGTACTCGTTCAACTGGTCTTCGTCATTCATGTGAACGCTATCACCTGTAAAATTATGGGAAAACGGAAATTATTAGAACGTCATGGACCTACTACAAATTTTTTGACCCGTTCGAAATCGTTATTGTTATAATATCCATTGGAAAATCCCCCTCCTCTGGTTGAAAACGTGTTCGAGGTGTTAAGGTTCCATGACTGAAAATTCTGTACTAGACAGGTGTCTGATAATAGATAAAATTGAGATTGTAAAAAAAAAAAAAACTTTTACTAAAAAATTTTTTTTTCTACATCACACGTTTATTTTATATTTTACTATCGTTGACAACCGACGGAGAGGACGGATAAATTCATCGGATAACTCACTCGAACACCAGGGGTTGAACAGCACGTAGACGGGCGTTTCAATTTGATGTTGATTGACTCCGGCCGCACCCTTCCGAGCTGTGTGCACGATTATCTTCCACACGGAGACGGGTGCGTACGGCGGTATTTGCACCTGAAAATCATGTTATTATAGCGCTTACGGTTTTCGACGATTGGATGGAATACTGACCTGTACGGTGATGGTAGACCCGGTAATGTTGCTGAATCGAGCGTCCCATTTATCTTGGACGAGTTCGGGTTTCTCCTTGATGATCAGTGCGGCGCTCGTGCCCTTGGCCGGAGCCGGGGCAGGTCCTGCGTAAAACACCATGTATAACTAACGGGTTGCGAACGTTAAAATTGATAACGCCATTTAAGCAGACCGAGAACTCAACAAAAGATAGCGGGTTGGAAGCCTGCGAAAAACTTCATTTCATTGCGCCCGTGTGAGTTTACTTAGGTACATAACAAACTGGTCGCTAACGGTTCAAAATGCGCGAGGTATATCGTTTATGTTGTATATAATGATTAACGATTCGAAAGCAATATTCGGACGTTGAGAGGGCCGAGAATCGTCGCTTTGCTCGTAGTATTACCTGTACGGGCTTAACCGTTATCAAATATATTAAAAAAAAAAAAAGAAAAAAAAAGAAATATTGCAGTACCTATCCATAAACGGTTTCACATATCGAACGAACGTCATTATAGACTCATAACACGTCTGTTGATTTTATAGTACATATTTGGATGAGTCGTTACTATTGTTTGATAAGGCAAATGCAGATAAATGAATTCCAAAGCGATTGGTTTGTGTATAAATGAATTTTACTCGCTGTCGTGCAATATATGCCGGCTTATCTGCATATCACTGTCTACTATTATGTCTACTCCACTGTTCTAATATTATGTTGATAACATAAATTAGTAATATCGTATTTACTTTTCGCAGAATAAAATTAATTTGCTGAGTATTCGGATGTGATGGTCCTATAATTTTACAGATTTCAGAAGTGTGTGTTATTTGTATAATGAAAAAATAAAAAAAATTGTAGCGCATTATTATAATACTAATAATAATAATATGTTTTTTAAATTAGCACCAAAATTATTGGTCGTTCGCTTTAGAAACATTTAAAATATTATATGATAAAAGGGATCACGTCCCCACCACTCACCTGTCACAAAAACAATTCTGACGATATCCATAACTTTGTCCAGCGGTCTGTTAAATTTTATTCCCAAATAAAACGGTTGACCACGGCGAAGTATGGCCGTCGATCCATCTTGAAGCAGCTCGAAACGGTCTGCGTGATGTTCCAACGCGTTTTCCAAGGGGTACAAATGAGTTGAAAGTACCGTGAGAGCCATGATAAATTAATGTGTGTCCACGCTGTTTCTGTAATCAAATAATCCCGTTGAAGTGTTTAAAGAGACAGGAAGTGTGTGCACTACCTATAAGTACATATTAAACACGTTCGGAAGAATCAATGCTGTTCGCATTTTTTATTGGAGGTTTATCTAATTATCACGCAAAACAAAAAAAAAATAAGGCAAAACATTGATCATCTGATAATATTGGGAACAAAAAACGAAAATCGGCCGACTTAATGTACACTATATATATATATATATATATAATATGTATTTGTCATATTGATTAGGAATATTTATTGTTTTTTTCAAGTACAAGATTAAAAATTCTTATATTTATATAAAATATCATTTACGTTGTTATTAAGTGATTTTTTCTGGTGATTTAAAAATCAGTTTTGTATTTAACAATGTTATATGATTTTGTATTTTTCTATTGAAATCAGCATTTTAGCGTTATATCCAAATAACCAAATGGTTATTTTAATTTAAATGTGACGCACATTTTTGCTTTTTAGACTTAGTACAACGTTAATTAAATCATGCGTGATCATATTAGATCAAAGAAAATACGTGACACAATCGGGTGAAGGTATAGTAGCATAATTAATGTCAATTTTGATATTTTGCCAACAATAAAAGTTGTATTATAATGGGGTTGGCGGATATCGAAAATAATAATCAATTTGGATTCTGTTTGTTAGATATGCAGCTTTAATAACTTATGCCGTTTACATTTTCAAATATGTAATTATATATAATATATACACGCAGGCATATAAATGTATGTGCAACGCAATTCATAATTTATTTTTGTTCCAAAACAATTTATACGTGTTGCGCATGCGTATGCACTGCAGTGTTTCAAAGTGCAGTGGATTCACGTGAACGTTCTTGGGATTTAGAAATCTTTCGTAGCATCCAATCATATTTTAGGGTTCGATTTTAAATCGTTTCAAAAGTATGTAATTGTCTCATAACGTTCACCGAGTTTTCGCGTTGTTTACTTTTTCGGTATTTATTTGAACCGAGAAACCGCTTTGCTCATTGCAAGTGAAATCATCGGGATGCGTACGTGCCCAGGATAAAATATTAGTGTTTCAGCATGACGTGGACGAATACCATTTTATAATCCGTGGTGAACAGATTTTGTCGGTAACGGCCGACACATAACCTTGCATAACGTACCGTTTGCGAGAACCGTTTTCTGGTTGTAATTAGGGGTCTCCATTTCACGTGTGTTTAAGAACACGTTCCGTACGTGTTTTTATAGAAACGGTGCTAAAGTGCGTGTTATTAAAATACACGCGTACACGTGTATTTAGAGTCCGTGTACTCGTGTATTTAAAGTCCGTACGTTATGATCAATGGTGGATACAAGGATGGGTAATAGGAGCACGTGCCCCATGTGCCCCTCCCCCATTGTTGTTTACATAAACACAAATTTAATTTAATTTTTAAATAGGAAACTTTTTTTTAATAATAAACGAATAACTATTAATTTGAGTTTTGTTTACATATTTTACAGTAAAAACTCTATAAAAATAACTTATGAATACGACCAATTTAATTCTTTTAATAAATATACAAATTAGATTCATACATAATAATATAAATTATAGATTTCGTAGTTGATTTTTCTAAAAATTATAAATACATGTATATATTTATCAAATTCATGATCAGAAACAACCCTTTATTAATGAAAAAATATAAATAAGTACCTATAATTAGTTTTTTACATTTTGAATATTTACACTTTATATTTACAATATAATACACGGGTATTCCTACATATTATTATTTAATGTTCGGACTACGTGTATATGTGGTGTATATCAATACGCGTACCAAACCGAGAGCTCTAGTTGTAATAGATTTTCGTGTATTTATATTTATTTCGACTAGAGAAACATTATTTTTATCAAAACTATTTACCAACAGCATAATGAATGCTTAAACGTAGATCGTCATAGTAAGAACATGTTTTATTTTTTATTTTTTTTTTTTTATATAATCTGCTGTAGTGTACATGTTAAGTTGATTTACCTCCGCGAAAAATCCTAATCCAATTCTGTCAATTGTGCTGAACATTTTTAATAATATTGACATTTTCTATAAAACCATACGGTTGTAAGTGTTCAAACGGAAAGCGCAAGGAGAATAATAAACGGAAGGATTGCATACTACGCTCCGATCTTGATCCGATGAAAACAACGTTTTGTTTACCGGCACCGCACTTTGACATGTGTTATTCGAAATACGTTATAAACATAGTACTGCTGCCGATGTCGTCTACCATTTTCGACGTGTATTGATGTATGAAAACGTACATCGTCTACCGACACGAGCGATTGCATCGAAATGCATTTAATTTTTGCGTGCAATCATAAAGTCATGTTAAAAAAAAAATAAATATTTAAATCGAATGTTTACTCGTCACCGCGCTTGTTGGACGTGTCGATCGTTTGATTAGGTTATAACATTGACATATATTCCTACAATTGCAACACGTATAACAAAAAGTGATCGTCGTTTCAGCCGATTTATAGGTGGACGGGTGGCGTTTAATTTGGGATATAAACGATGTGATTTCGAAACCTTTAAACCGGTCGGGAGTATTCTGTAACGGTACACGGTGGCGCCCAAGTTTTAAGAATGCGGTCGATCAGTTCCAATACTTGGTGGCCTAACCGTGAACTTTTTCAGGTAGATCTTACACAGACTCGTAAACGAGTAAATCCGTATGGCCTCATAGCAAATCTTTTTTTTTTTTTCGAAAAAGTGGTCGACCTTAGAACGGGCTTTGGCATCACAAAGACTGTAGACAACCGATGTTGATCGATGGGCCGAAAGATGTTTGCGATGTTGTTAAGGTGGCGAGTGTCAACGGCTAGTGAAACGTAACCACGACCACGATATATACGCTAGTCGTAAAGCACATAATAGTCGTACTTGGGGCACGAGTGAACGAAATCGACCGCTAGCCCTCACCGAATCTCATGTACTTATCATGGGTACAGTTGCCGCGTTAGACGACGCAGCAGCGGTTGAAGTACATATGATGTCCTGGGAGCGTTTCCACTGCTGCTGCACTGTTAATGTTCCGCGGCCAATCAAATTTAATTATTGTTTGCATTTCGAATAAAACAACCAAAATTCGGTAGATCGTGCTTGTACCGGCGCCCGAATATATGATAGATGACTGCGTTTCGAGATAAAATTTAACGAAACGCGACACAATGTAATAATGTAATGTCTGTGTACGCAGGGATAAATGTTCGTACACGTAGTAGTCCCTGGTTTAATGCTGTCCGGCAGCCGACAGAGATATCGAAACGATTGGTATTTAGTAAGCACCCTCGAGTCGAGCGAAGATTTTTCTGAAAAAAATATCAGTCGGACGAAGTTTCGAGGTAGGTACGCGAGAAATAAATAAATTGTACATATTGTCAGGATCAGAATATTTGAATTCACATGGTTAAAACAGGCGATTCGTCGTTAAGTTTTCCCAAGGGACAGAGGAACAGGATGTCGTTCGAGAAAAACGATCTCGGAAATGGCGTTAATACGACAAGATGGAAATATTAAACCATGTACCAAGAATGATCATAAGGACGAGGCGAGAATGAGAATAAAATAATTTAACGATCGTTATGTTATTATTATTATCAATTTTATTGAATGTTCAAATCGATTGTTTATTGGTATATATTGGTATACGTGAACTGTGTATAGTACTAGAATAATGTAGTTCAAGAAATAATTCCTGTTAGTATTTTTTCTAATGATTATCTTTATTGATACGTGAACAATAAGTTCGAATATAATGTTATGTATACTGATCAAGTGTATACAAATTCGTGGAAGTCGATATTTGCTGACTTGCTCAAGAAAAACAACGAATAGGAACTACAGGTATTATAATCGCGTTCGATAAACTATTCAATCAGCTTTAGACATTATACCTGTTCGTTATAAAAATAATCACAAATTGATATCAGGAACTGTTAATACGGCTTAATAACAAACCAACAAAGGTTATTATAATTATTACATTATTACGATGATAATATTATTTAATATCAACAAAAAAAAAAAAAAAAAAAATTATATCGACATGAAAAAAACATAATCGGCTCGCCACGGCACAGTAATTATATATTTCCTGTAAGCCGTGTTAAATTTAAAATCGTGATTTTAGTTGCAAAAACTGTACAGTGTTCATGTAACCAGTGTTCGAATCAGTATCCCATACAAGATAATGAGTTAGGTAGCTCTGCTGTGATATTAAATATTTTAACTGCAATGGTAAATTTATAAATAATATTTATTGAAATTGGGAGGGAGCGAGTATTATGCAGCGTTTTGCATTTTTTTTTTTTTTTTTTTTTTAATGTTAAACATTATTAATTTGCAGTTATTTAAAACCATTGTTTATTTACGATTTCACAAAAAGGTTTATTGCCACATCGCATACTGACGTTTTATTGTAATTTTTACTGGTTATTTAAATTTGAATTGAATAGCAAATTAATGGTAATAATAGATACAGGTGTGTAAGAGGAAAAGTCTTTCGCAGTACGTTGCAGACTAATCTCACGATGTTTTTTTATCGACTTGAGATTTTTAATTATATTAATTTTTCGACCCATGTACCAACCGTGTAGTTGTACCGGCATTTTTGTTCGAGCTCATAGATTCTTCGGCCATCAATTTGAAATCAATCGAAACGTCGAGAGCTGTACGAAGTTTGCTATTTTTGGAGTGCTTGAAGCACCAACATTGATTTGGAAAACATAGTTTGCCAATCATTGTAAAGGTATCGATACCAGTTCGAGTGCTACCGCTCAAAGAAACTTTGGGAGTTGCGTGAAAATGGCCCCATGAAATTTTGCTTGAGCGTTTTCAGTTATCGGAATCGATAAACAATTTACAAAACAAAATTGTTGGCAAAACATTAACACCGGTGAGCGGTAGATTTGGCAACAACGGGCGATCAATTTTATGGGAAAATGGAGTCGAATGAGGATTTAATCGTAATACCATAGACTATAGTGCTGTCTGGTGGTTATGAAATAATATTCAACACATCGTTCGTCGTGCGTAAGAGGAAAATCGGAGAAAAACGACGGGCGGACACGAACGGGGATGTTCGAACGCGAAACACGTTGCAATATTGTTGCATACAGAACGAGTGCGCGTGCATGCACGCGATTTCGAGCGATTTGTATAATTACTACAAAGGGTCAATCCTATATGTTGACGTGCGTTGGGAAAGGAAACAAATATGAAAAAAAAACACCATACACGTATATAATATATTATTACGGTTGTAATGGTGTACAGTTGAAGGTCGAATAAGAGAGAAAAAAAACCGGTTCATCAAGGAATTCACCTAAGCCATCGACAACACGTCGTTTACGTTACGCGTTGATGTTCTGCAGTACGAATTTTCCTTAAACCGTAAACGACGACGTGATTATTTGGGCGATGATATTTGTACTGTCATCTGGAAACGCAGTCGTGGGCTCTTTTACACCATCAAAGGACATCCGTCCGTGAGCGTCGCTTGTGATCCTTTTTAATAATATCGTATACGCACACACACCCGTTGTTTTAACAATAACGCTGTCGGGGGTGGCTCCAGGGGAGGGCCTAGGGACCGCGGCCCCTCCAAGCCCGTACCGTATTTATAAAAAAATGTATATTGTTAACAAAAAATGCATATTATAATATGGACTACTATAAGACACGCACAAGTATATGATATACTATCGTGTATACGATGTACCTGCTATCTATATTATGTAGAACCAATAAGGCTATAAATAAAATATATTACGGTCTGATACTATGATATTATTATTTTATAATGTTCAAAACATGAACTGCGTAGCACACATTTCTGTACGGACTGAACTGTTGTGTTCTTTTTGTTATAAGATTTTGAAAAATAATAACTTGTTCTCCCCCCCCCCCCCCCCCCACTAACCAAGGCTCTGGAGCCGCCCCTGAACGCCGCAGCGGCTGATGTTGGCGATATTTCTTCGAACAGTATTTCGTTTTTCACCGACGTCGCACCGCGGAAAACGAATCGTTTGGATCGCGCGCGCATATCGTATACGCAGTCGTATCGCATTCGCTGTAACGTCAGTCCGTCCGCAAGTAGTTCAAGGACCGGATCGGGTAGGCGCACGGAGACGAGCGCGCGCGGCGATCGGACTGCGATTTGGCTTCTACGCGGCACGCGCGTGTACGCTGCCAACAACCGCGTGAATCGCGTACGCGGCCTTAACGCATGAAAACGTACGCAGTGTGTGTACGAATATATAAATGTATATTGTGTGTGTGTATGGCATACGACTAGTTTGAGTTCGGTGTCGGATTAACCGATGACGGTGAAAACAGTGCGTGAATTCCATAACTAATCGCACTTCAAAACATGTCCTCGCTCCTGCCCGTCGGATTTTCGACCGAAACTTAAAAAAAATATTTATCCCCTTTACTTGGTTCGTTTTGAAAAATAACACTCACCTGTGACCGTTTCAACGAGTAGAATTGACATTTTAATAAAGCGATAGTACTAATATTCTATTAGGTAGCGTCGAATTCGATATCTGTGAGCCTGTACGATATTAAACTGTTCGATGATTGACTGTTACGGTCATGTAGTACAATAAGTCCTAGTTAACAGTGAAACTTGCACCCGACGAACCGAATATTTAATTAGGGGCCTGATTTGACTTGATTAGGAACATCAGACGGCGGAAAAAATTTCAATAAAAGACTTGACAGTACGTGATATCACTTATTTTTTTCTGTGTGGTTCGCTGCAACCGACAATCCAAGACAATTGCAAGAGGAAGACGAAAAATAGTTATAGGTATTCGTACATTTTTCAACAATATTTTTACTCCACGATAATATTGTTGAATGAATTTTATAATATTACAGTTATATACGATAATATTTTAGATTTTACTTTTTCTACGAAAGGAAAGGGGTGTATCACATTTTTCAAATATATTCGTTTAAATACCTCAGCGAATAATGCTCCGAAACAGCGTCCTGCACCGTTTTTCCAGGTTCGCGATCGCGTCGGCTTTGGTTAAAACTTTTCCGATGACGCATTCTGTATAGGTATAGTCAAAAACAAACGCTCACGAACACGTGTGGTTATTACTAAAACATCGCGGTTAGGCTAGGTCAACTATATACATATATATATCCAATGTACAAATCAACTGCGTAGCGAAGTGACCCTCAACATTATTTCGTTAACATTTTTAGTAATTAATCACGTCTATCCGTATCCGATTTTGGATAAATGTTTAGGTGTTAATAATTACACAAATTCGTGTACACGGTTAACAGGTCCCATACAATTCCCACTGCTATTGTTGTCGATAGACTCTCGAGGAAAATTAATACGGATTAGACGACGGTGAAATGAAAACACGACAGAGAACGAGAAACGATTATTAATTTCAGATAAGTTCAATAGATAAATAACTAATAGAAACTAAACACATTTAATATTAATGCTGCTAAGACCTATCCTAATTTTACGTGTTTTAGATATATATATATATATATATATAATAATAATAATTTATTTAATTTTAATTTTTTTAATCTAATCATCTTATCAATGTTGTACCGTTTTATTATGTTTAATCAATACATTTTATTACTTCACGGATTTTTCAATGATAAATATGTACTTATTTGCAATTAAACATACACGCTTCCTCTATGTGATTGAATTTATATATATATATATATTTATTTAAGTTAAGAAATGTGAAAACTTTTAGTGTGGAAAATAGCGAAACGCAAGTGTCAAGTACAACTAATTGTGTCATATCATTTGGATCGGATTTTCAAAAACGCACATATCAATACATTATTGTATTAAAAATACATGGTAAGAACATGTACAATTATTAATTAATAGCCGTAAATTAAAATAAAACTGTTCGATAAAAATAAAAAATAAAAATGTAGTCCAATGTGTAAGCGATAAGTATTATATAAGTCGTTACACTAATAATTATTTCGTGTGATGATTGAGATGTGTTTTCAATAAATGTTTTATTTTAGTTTATGAATACTATATCATTTCAGTACGTACTATAATTATGTTAGCTCGATAATTCACTCTTGTAAATCGCTCGTTTATTGAAGACTATAAAGTTCAAGAATTCATAGGAATTGAAAAGTGATAAGAACATTCTATTCAAGACTGAAATTTTCAAAGAAATAAACCAAGTATACGTTTTTAGCTGTCCAGAACACGTAGGATAACGTAGGATATGGTTTAAAATCAATAAAGCTCAAAAGTACGCCCGAAAACGAGATTATTATAATAAAAGGAAATTAAAAAAAAATCATCGAAAACTCGCGAACCAACGTTGTATTCATTGTCGTATTTTGTTATTCAAACACTCGTCGGAACTACATGGTCAATCTGTTTTTGAAAATGAAAAGATAAAAAATAAAAGCTTTGTGGAGTACACTCGACAACTGGAGAAGAGTGTCATTGCCGGTGAAAAATTATCGTTTTTCTTCAACGCGTTGTGTAAAATACACGCGGACTCGGAAAAAAAAATAGGCCGTTACGAAAACTTTATGTAATTACGATAACATACGACGATCATCCGAACCGATTGATGCGTCGAGACAGTGCCGGATCAAACATTTGTGGGCCCTACAAAATTATTTTTTACACACGTCATTAATATTACTATCCAATGATTAAAACAGATTTAATAATAACCAACTATTATAAGACCATGTTTATTAAATTTTTTTATTTGCAAGAAAAATGAATGAATTAATATATTATTTCTATTTTTTTTTTTCAAAATAATTTTATTATTGTCACCGCATACGGCACTTGAAAATTAACATATATTGTATTTCATAACGAGTTTTGTCCCAAGAGCTCGTAAATAAAATACAGACATCGTTAAATACAAAAAAAATATAGTTTTCTCACAGGACTCCTTAAACGACTGTGATCCTAAGGCGGGCGCTTACTCCGCCCTAGCGGGTAAAATATAGTGAGATTATGATTTTCGTCCGTTGTTTTCGTTTCGATGAACATCCCCCTCCCCCCACGATCATACGTGTGAATTCCACGGCTAACTACCCGGGTCCCCGAGAGTCGACGTCGAAGAAAAAACCGAAAAAAGGAAAAAAAAAATGTAAACAACGTTTACCTGTAAACGTACCGGTGCCGTGGACGAACGCGTAGCGGAATGCTTGTGTCGGGCCAGCTGCAGCGGCGGACTGCGGCGGCGGTGGTGCGATGACGGTCGGCGGTGCACGTGCGCGTTACTGCGAGACGTGCGGACGGGTCAAGACTGTCGGACCGGTATGCGACGGGCACGGCACGGGATCCGGTATTTATCGGGATAACCTAGCCCGGGCCGGGTTCGTTCCTACTCCGTCCGGAGAGTAAGAAAAAAAACCCACACCGCCGTCCGACCGATACGGACGACCTCCGCGCGTTCGCGTACGTAATTGTCGCTGTTCCCCCGGCGACGTTTACGCGCGCACGTGCGTTTCCAGTCGGTCACTCGTCGTTCTATTCGTTTGTCATCCAATGATTGTTCGTCGAACGCTCTCATCATCGTCGTCGTTCACGATTATCGTTCGTTACGCAATCGCGCACGTGTGGGTGGCGAGGTTTTTTTTTTTTTTTTATTGCGTTACGGAAATCCGCACGATTATTTTAAGGTCACTGTCGGGGTTTTTTTTTTTTTTACGCGCGACGTTTTTTATTCCGCTCGTCACCGCTCAAAGTTTCCCGGTACGACGGCTGCGCGTTAATCATCGGCGAAAAAACCGATCCGAACGCGAACTCCAATCTGCGCGAATGTCATTTTGAATTAACCGACAAAATCGGTGCTATCGCGCCTACAACTTTTTACACCTGTTCGGATGAACGACTGTCGAGCCAAGTCATAACGGGTATACAAGAAATCATGACCGATTTTTAGATACCGTACTTTTTCGTCATATTTTATTGTATTATTGGTAGGGCTCGGATTTTAAACCGGTTTACCACGTTCAAAGTTTGTTCTGTTCAAAATACAGTCAAAAAACTAAAAATAAAAAAACCATCATTTTATACACTATTAATTTAATTTAAATTTGATTATCTGTACCATAGAGATATAGTGAACAATAATAGTTATAGCATATTTATTTTTCAGAAATCGATATTATTCAATAAATCTCTTCCAGTAATGAACATAGTCTCATGGAAGAGTTAACATTCTGTCTAAATAATTTAGGATATCACTTAATTTTGTATTAGTTTACCTTTACCCCCGAAAACTCTCAAAAGATATCAATCAGTCGTCATACTTTCCGGGTATACTGTACACAAAACGACCGACGAAAAAACGTTCCTCTTCGAACCACGGTCCAGCTGAACTCAGGGGCGTATTTTAAGGGGGGGGCGAAGGGGGCGACCCCCTTGAATACATTTTTAAGAAATTGATTATACTAATATGTGAGATACACATTTTTTTAATGTGGATCATATTATAATGAAATCAAATTACGCATGTCTGTAAATATTGAATTGTGCTTTTTGTCGGGTCCATACTTAGTGAAAAAATCAAATAAAACAAAAGCGTAACTTTGAAAACACAGACAGGTGTTAAAAAAGAACTACACAAAATCGATTCTAAGTAGATCCGATATTAGGTAAAAAAAAAAAAACCACAAATATTAAGGATTCACTCGATTTAAACATTAATATTTAAATTTGACTTGTAAATTTTGAGCCTGAATTAAAGAAAAAATTTGAGTCACCTCCCCCCCCCTAGAAGTAAGTCTAAATATGCCCCTAGCTGAACTCCCTGCAAAAAATACACACCAGTTAGGTCTCGTTGAATCACGGTACTAAGATCACGTTGCTCAATTTTTGGATTGAAATGATTCAACATAACGTCCATAATTACATGTTATTTGAATGTTATGATACTGATTTATTGAAATATTCGACTATTTTCCTACACTCGTAATGTTTCGTTCTGTATGATTATAGACTGTAACGTTTATGATTTGGTATTTTTTTTTATCTCACTACTCAATATATTATTATTATAGATTTCTACATACATTTTAATTTTTAAGAGCATTTTTTTTTTTTTTAGCCTTGTGTCGTGTTAGTAAAAATACTATAGTGGTACAACTTGATACTGTTTGAAAATAAAATTAACGCTTAAATCACAAACATTGCAATGGGCGGTACAAAATATAAGTAAATACTAATATCTTATTATACTTAACTTATACTTAACACATATTTGCAACAATATGCGTATAATTAACGTAGTAGTGTGAAAATTTAAAATTACTTATTTTCCTTGTTAATTCGTTGCGAACGGTTTTATTTAATGGCCAAAATTATTATGTTTGGCTCTTTTCGTGATATGTAAATAAATAACAAATTTATAACTCTCAAATCCATTTGACTTTGATACAGAATAACTATCATTATTCAACATATAAATAAATAAACAAATAGTTTATGAATAGAAATAAATAAATAAATGCTTAGCTTGGGGTTTTATTATATCTGCGAAGTACGAACGTTTTCGAATAAAAAATTCATCGTCAGATATATATACGAGTACAAAGTCAATAAAATCGCGACTGAAAATGAAAAAATAAAGGAAGGAATACATTAAGAAAAATTGATCGTTTTACATAGATTAATTTTATTAACCCTAATTTATTTTATTTATTTATGAATTTATATATATATAAACTATTTATTTATTTATATATTAATTTATAAATATTATCCATTAAAATATTTTTAGTTTTAATTCTATTTTGTACAATTTAATTATTTGTGATTATTCGTTTGCATATGTATGTCTCGTTTAGTCTTACATTAATTTTTATTTGAAATAAAAAAAAAATTGAGACTTTGCCGACTTTAAATGCAAATTATTGTTAAGGTTATTTTGTGCTGTGGAAAATATTCATTGTTTGAGAATGTGAGATGGTTAAATGATAATAATGATAAATGTATAAAATAAACCGATGGTAAATATTAAAAATTGAATTTAAAATTTTATCGACGTCAAATTATTGTTGAAATAATATTTGTTTGGGGAAATATTTTCATCGGTTTGTTTATTTATATTTTTTTTTTTGTACGTAATAGAAAAAAGTGATTTCAAAACATTAAAAACAAATAAATGTGATTACGTAGAATAACACCGGGGTAAAACATGATTTTTAAAGAAAACCTGCCGTCAATAAAAAGAATACGGGTATGGGGATCAAAAGGAAGAGATTTATACATTCAGGATTCTCGGAGGAGCTGCGGGGTATGCATTAGTTTTATGAAAATGAGTGTTATTTTTTTGCATGTATTTAAAGCCATTTTCTAGCTAAAGAAGAGATTCGGAAGTTTCAAGCAGACTTATATCGATGTGTTGGAAATTGTAGGTCACGTGTAAGTATATACATATATACATGTATGTGTGTATTGTAAATATAAACAAAATAATTCTTAAAAATATTCAGATTTTATCTGGGAATTGATGTGGGAAGACCAGATTTCACCCAAAGATTCTTATTAGTATGCGGAAAATACAATTTCAAAAATAACTAAATCCAAATATGTTTCAACTTGTTTAGAACACAAATTTATATTGCCTACTCGTTTTTCTAATTAAATGTTAAATACAATCTCCTGGTCGTCCACAAATTGTATTAAACGATTGAATATAGAAAAATATACTTATCTTATTTTTCTAAAAATTGAATTTAGTTTTATACTTCATCGATGTTTTAAAACTTAACAGTTATAAATCGAATTATAATTATTTATATTATATAAATATTAATAAGTAATATTATGAGTATGTAATATTTATTTTTTCTTCAAATTTTCAATTTTTAAAAAGTCATCGTCTAATGAAGTTGAAAAAATATAAATATAAATTGATGTTATACTATACACATATAACTACATATATTTTTGGCCTAATATAAAATACAGAGTTAGGAATATTCGAAAGAAGTAAAAAATGATGACCTATATAGACTATATGGAAAACCTAATATTTTATCATATATAAAAATTAAGAGAATGGAATGGTTTGGGTATGTAAGGAGAGTTGATAATGATATAAGAAAAACACTAACGGAAACCATACATAAGAAAATACCAATAGGTAGACCACGGACGGGATAAAAAAATGCGGTAGAGGAGATATCAAAATGTTGGAAAGAAATGTGTCAATTGACATGGCATCGAACAGGGAAAATTGGAGAAAATTGCTTGTGGCAGCTTAGGTCCTACAGGGACTATATTGACTATATACATAGTCATGATGTTTTTTCCAACCTTTAAAATAACCACACGATTATCCGATTTTCTCCAGACACAAAATCTTGATTTTGTCCAAGCTCATTACCAGATAAGTCGTACTTGTAAATGGATATTACAGCTAAAAGATACTATTTATTACTATACAACGAAAGCTGTGAATTTTTTTTGTTAATTGTTTGAAAAGTAAAATTGAAAGTCAGTGAAGATCAAATCATCGATGCAATTTCGTGGACCCTAACTCAGGAGCACGTACAAAATATGTTGGGAAAACGTGTGATTCGACCAAATGGGGCAATAAATAACCTAGGGGAATAGGTAGAAATTTTTTTGCTCGTACATGGCGGAATTTGTTTAATCCGTTTGAAACGATTTTAAAAGATGTAGCATGGGAATTACGGAAAACATAAACACATTTATACATTTTTAACACTATATCATTGTGATTATAAATAAATTTTATATTTATACAATGTTTTTAATGTTATTCTATTTTTTTAATATTACACTAATATAACGTTAAATTATTAGATTAATAATATATCAATAAATAAACTCATTGTTTTGTATTTATATGATGTATTCATTAGTATTTTGGATGGCGAGGAGATAACAGACCTGAGTGGCGGGGCTATAAAGTTTTCACTCGTCGTCCGTCGTGGCAAGGTTAGGTTAACAAACCAGTACCTGGAAACAGAGTTTAATATACGGTATAACGAATTGTATAGATGTATAAATATCTACTTACTCTGCCACTCGCACAAGTAACAAGTGAACGTTCATTCTCAAAGCCAAAACTTTTAAAGAAAAAATTGAGGCCTACAGCGAAAACGAAGAGTGTTTATTTATAACGCAATATGAACGATATATATTAACGCAATATATTTTAATTCAAGTTCATGGAAATTTCATAGCTGATAAAATATGTTTTTCGAGCCAAGAAATGAATCCATTTACTTTCATTCTAAGTTACAGTAACTTTTTTTTTTAATTTTTTATATTATTATTATGTATTAATCTGT